CGCTCTAAGTTGAATGAAAATCTATCGATTGAAAAAAAAAAAGTCAAATCGGACAATTCGTTCACGAGAAATCGTCAACCAAAATTTTGACCACGTACATACCTAGTAACACACACACACACACAGACCGACATTTTGTTTAAAATTGTCTAGGAACATCGAAAAGACCTTGAAACATGGAGATTTGATGAAAAATCGATTTTTGATTTTCAGGGCCATTACAATAACTTCCCTGCCGGGAAGTTAAATATACTTGAATCAAGTATATTTTATTCTTCAATCCGGTTTATGCATATACTCAATTCTGGTACAAAATATACTCGATTCAAGTATTTTTTTCCGTGTATGCAAGAAGTATTATTATCTCTTTTATTTTTTAAATAAAATTTCCCCGTTTTGCCAACAAAGTTGGTTGATTTACCACTTCTCAAAAACAAGAAAAACCACTGTTGAATTATAATAGACACTAAATCTTGTTCATAGATTCCATCATTGATAACAACATAATAATGAAATTGGACGTGGACCCTTCGATGAATGCGCCAGTGAATTCCGTGAAGCTCTAGAAATGTCCATTCAGGATCCGGTCAATGCAGATTTACATAAAATAGTAACTTTTTCTCCTCATTCATTTTTTATTTATTTATTTATAGATTATTCAAGTCAAGACAGCCGAGGCCAATCACAAGACTTGTAAATAGTGTGGAAATATCAAACGCATTGCGATTAAATATTCACATTAGGTAGTAAATGTAAGATGTAACATAATAAATGGTATCTACAAGTGTTCAGCAGCAAGGGAGAATATGAAGATAGTAAATATAGAAATGTGGAGATGATCATTATAAAATTAACATCAATATAGTATAGTTCGATACGATTGCGGGAAAGTGTTTTTGGGCTCGTGAGAGGTTTATAGCACGATCCGAAGGCAAGTGATATAATCCCACGAGTATAAAAATATTTTTCCCGCGAGTATCGAACCCTATTTTTCATCACAATGTGTGGGAAGTGGGGTTTTGCGCACGCTGAGCGTGCGTAAAATGTCATTTTACACACAGCGTGATGAAAATAGGTTTTTTGTGATACCTGCCTCAAAAGTGCACTTTTAGAAACGGATAAGTGTGCGTAAAGCGGTTATTTTCCACACGGCGTGCGTAAAGTTCAAGAGCGTGCGTAAAGTTTTTTTTGTTCACGAGTGCGTAAAGTTCAAGAGCGTGCGTAAAGTGAACTTTACGCACTCGTGCAAAAAAAACACATTACCCCCACTACCGTTTCAAAAAGTGAACTCGGCAGGTACCACGAAAAATAGGATGTGTTACACGTGTGTGTGAAAAAGTGGAACTTTACGCACTAGTAACACAATATACTATTTACCGTGACACATGCCTTATTTACTAGAGAATCCATAGAATCGTTGAAAATATCAACATCGGGGTACAAACTCAATAACAAATTCAAAGCAATACCTGCCTGATGCATTGGAGAGGATAGAGCCAGGTTATTCTTTGGTTTGGGAAGATGAATTTTTTATTTAGGGCGAGTGACTAAACGTGAAAATTTCAAATTCACGCAACCCAGCAATTCAGGACAGTCAATATTGTTTCGAAGAATTTTTATTAAGAATATAATCAATATCTTCGCCCTCTGTTGTTCAAGACTTCCAATCTCTTTCTGCAAAACAGCATTTTTCTTCAATACTGCATCGTTTATTCAACGAAAAATCAGTGGTATCACTGTGACAATTAAGTACTAGAGTATTAAATATTGTTATGATTTTTTGTATTCACCATAAGCTATGAAATACTACCACCTAATCCCCTTTAAAATAGTGTCCATACAAATAAAAAAAAAACGCAGAGATGAGAGGAGATAGCGATTGATGGACTCCCGGAGAAGTGAAAAAAAAATGAGGTTGGAGAAAAAACTTAAAAAATTTGAAGCAGTCGAGTGGGTGAGTTTAAATTTACGTTACTGACAATAGCAGGCCATTGCAGAGGATAATAAAGAGACACGGGAAGAAGAGTCGTGTGTATACATACCGGTATCGTTTTCTCGGGAGTTAGGGGGAAATAATCCGCTTACGATGTAGTTCTACCTCTCAGGAGTCTCTGTCCTCCCCCGAGAGAGCCCATAGAGGATGATCGGATGGATCATTGTTCGGCGTTTTGTGAGAAAACAGCATTTTCGTCGCTCGAGGTGACGACAAGAAGGGACTTAACTTATCTCCGTCACAACAGCGATCTCTACCGATCTCATCTCCCATACATTTCTTTTGGAGTTCCTTCGTCATCGCATGTATATTTTTCTGCTCTTTCGGCACTTAATCCTCGTTTTACTGAGCACCTGATTCATTCGACAAGTTCAAAAATACTGATTGCGCGGAGGAAAAATCACTATGTATGAAAAAACTTATTATGGAACATAATATTAAATAAATAAATTTTGCATCTTGAGAGACTCTCGAGCTTAAGCAATATCGTGGTTTTCAATGGTAACGTGACAGTGTATTTTTAACCGTGAACTATTCGATCAGAAATCTTCAATAATCAATAGAAAAATAATTCACGTATCGGTATCGTAATTTTTCACAGGATTCAGATAAAAATTACGGAACGCTGCGGAAAAATTCAGAGACAATTCCGTAAAATTTCCTACAACCACATTTCGCTCCGGAATTACGGAAAAGATACGTAATCTTTATCAAATCTTTCTCTCCGTGTGGTGCACGCTATATTCTTTACTAAAAATTTCTGATTATAAGGAAAATAGCGCAGTGTTTTATCAAAAAATAAATGAAGCCAATAAAAAAGTCTACAATTTTTTCTCCATTTCCCTCCATTTTCCAAAAACTGATCTACACGTAAAAGTAACACATTCCGCTTTATTCCTCCACTATTAAGTCGATCTTTCAATCAAAATCACAAATTAATGAATCGCTTTTTCATTTGAAACTGCCCAACATAATTGAAAGTCTGCGGATACTTGAAAACACGCATTTGCCGCGTATCACGGTATAAATCCTCGCATGCCAAGTAAATCTATATCATTAACCTGTTGGAGTATAATAACATATAATGCAACATTTCCCTTGGCACTCGATTGACAAGAAAAAACTGTTTCACTCGGTGAGCAAAGGGTCACACCCCTTTACCACCCGTTCATGCAATAATCCTATGAATACGAAATCGCCTGGGCAAACAGAACGCGGCACGCGCCGGCCTCGGCGTTATGTGCTCGCGATATTTCACGGATTTAAGCGATGGCTTCATTCAACTTTTTTTTTTCACGCTCTCTAATCGCTGACACCATCGAGATCGATGCTCCATGTTTTTTTCCAACTTTTTGTGATGTAAACACCCAGGAATTGAATCCAACTTCTCTTCCGTTTTGCCGTGTGCAGTAAAAAACATTTCACGTGATGGATGACTGATTCTTTATCGGATTCATTCGGGGAATAGTGAGATGATTTTTTTCTTTGCCAGTGGACGCTTTTTTTCATCGAACTTCGATTTCGAAATTTTGGGTTGAATGGCGTTGAATGATGTGAAAAGCTGGAACACTATTCAGCTATTCACTATTTGCTATTAGCTATTCATATTCACTATTTGTTATATTAAGTTATTTTATTGTTTTCTTTCCTATTTTTCTTTGCGGTTAGATTAAATTAAATTTATTGGATTCTATTCCCATTGTAGTATACAAATTGTGGGAACAGTTTTTCTCATTTTCAAATGAAGAGATATTTATGTTAAATAATATCAGTATAATATAATAATTCCTCTCAATGAAATCAGATCATGAAAATGAAAAATTTCAAAACAGATTTTTTTTTAATGACGAAAAAATATCAATATATTCCCTTTCTATGATCTGATTTCAATGGAAGAAAGTGAAAAAAACAGATACGTGATCAGCAAGAAAATAAAAATTTCGATTTTTCAATGTCTCCGAAAAGTTTTAAAATTGATATATTTTTTCAAATAATGAAAGAATACCCATCAATTCAATTTCTACCCTCACATTTTGATAGAATGCACTAAAGAAATAGCAAAGAATAAAAATCGGAGACGAAAAATTTTATCGGATTAGTATAATGTAATGCAATAATTACAAAGATTTGACCCTTACATTATTGAAGGTTTAAAATATGTTGATTCAATTCTTCAAATAATATAATATTAATAATCTGATTTTTTACGAATAATGATGTATTCAAAATTTAATATGAAACTGTAAATTTACTACTAAGTGAATAATTCAAATTTCTTGAAAGGGGATTTTCGATTACACAGGTAATCGCCAATCTTCCTACCTCGAATTATTGATTGATAAAATAGTTGAAAATTTGAATATTTGAATTGATGACACTTGAGTATTCAAAAAATGTCAAGAGTGATGTTATCTAATTAAGGGCTACGAAAGTAACCGTAATAAAATATCACAAATATGGCTATCCCTGCTCCAATTTCCCTCCTTGAGATCAAAGTGTTAATCAAATTAAATATTTAATAGTATCATATTCGATAATATTCAACTCTCAGCAACAAATTCTACAATTGAATATAGTCTTCATTGCAAAGGGGGAGAACTATATTCTTTATGAAATAAGAACTATCCCATTTCATAAAAAATCAAACTAATTTTCAACATTTCACCGAAAGTCAATTATCCATTCTCCCCTTTTAAAAATATGCAATTGTTTAGAATAAAATGACCAAATTCTGGGTGAGGAAATTATTTATTACATTTTCTTCATTTTCCTGATTTCCACAAATTTTCATGGAAAAATTGAGCTGAAATTCATAGTTTCCATGAGTTTTTTCCCTAAATTGAGAATTTCAGTAAAAAATCCCATAAAAATATCATAAAAAATTGACTTCATTTTCAATATTTAAACAGAAAGTCGAGTATCCACTCTCCCCTTTAAAAAAAATGCAATTGTTTGAAATAAAATGACAAAATTCTTGGTAAGGAAATTATTTAATATATCTTCTATCTGTTTCTCATTAATTATCATTGACATTTTCTTTACAATACGATTGGTCGACTACATTAAAATATTATTACAATTGAAAAAGTTGTTAATTTATTAATGCCATTCGACAAGCTCATGATGAGGATATGTACCCACGCTAACCCCATGGGGGATAAAAAAATAAGGAACCCAAGATAAAGATAATTTCAGGAGATCGTTATTGAAGCCCATTGAATTAACACATTATCTACATTATTCAAAGGCGCATTTCATAAATTAAATGTACACACGTTTCACACTTCTCATCCCCTCACCGGCAGTAAATACTCAAAACAATAAACTGAAAATAATGAATATCAGAGTGAGAAGACGGGATTTACAGTCTCGGAGCAAACAACGGAGTATTTCATTAATCAATTAAAATTGAAATCAAATGTGATGCAATTGTTTCAACATGCCACTGAAAAATTGACAGAACAAAATCAAAACAAACGATATAAATATGACAGGCACGCTTTAAGTACATAGAACTCGCACTCATTATTTCGTTATTATAAAAATTACTTATTGGACGGACTTTACGAGTTGACTCGTATTTTTTCACATTTTGTTCATCGATCATCATCATACTGAAATAATACTATTATAATTGAAGGAATATTTGTTCTGGAAATTCAAATATGCTGAAAATAACATTTACTCTTCATTCAATATTAATTTAATCGATAACTTCAGCCCTAAATTTTCTATTTAACAATAATATTCAAATAATGGAGCCAATTTCCCAGAGTTCGAACCCCTTGAGGGATTTATTCTAAAAGTCAATTTTAATAGTTTTACAAAGAATTCTATATTCATTAATTCAAAAAGACCTTTTTGTTTTTATCGTAATTGAATACAATTCCTTTGCAGTAACTCTAGATGAACTAATATTACTTCAAGATTAATAATAACATACGAGAATAAATCAGCTTTGAAACATTTCACATTTTATTCGTGGATCATTATTATACTGAAGTGTTACTGCTTAAATTGAAAGAATATTTCTTCTGGAAATTAAAATATGATGAAAGTAACATTTACTCTTCATTCAATATTAACTTGATGGATAACTTCAGCACTCAATTTTCTATTTAACAATAATAATCAAATAATGGGGTCAATTTCCCAGAGTTCGAACCCCTTGATGGATTTATTCTAAAAGTCAATTTTAATAGTTTTACAAAGAATTCTATATTCATTAATTCAAAAAGACCTTTTTGTTTTTGTCATAATTGAACACAATTCCTTTGCACTAACTCTAGATGAACAAATATTACTTCAATTTTAATAAATCGCCTTTAAATCATTTCACATTTTGTTCGTGGATCATTATCATACTGAAATAATACTATTATAATTGAAGGAATATTCGTTCTGGAAATTAAAATATCACGAAACGCTTACTCTTCATTTAATATTAATTTGACGGACAACTTCAGCACTCAATTTGCTATTCAACAATAATATTCAAATAATGGGGCCACTTTCCCAGAGTTCGAACCCCTTGAGGAATTTATTCTAAAACTCAATTTTAATACTTTTGCTAACAATTCTACATTCATTAATTCAAAAAGACCTTTTTGTTTTCATCGTAATTGAATACAATTCCTTTGCACTGACTCCATACGAACAAATATTGCTTCAATTTTAATAATAACTCAGACAATGCATATCAGTTACTCACATACGAGAATAAATCACCACCTCTCGTCATCGGTGACCATTAGTCTTCTGAATTTACATTAAATTAATACACAGTCTACAATAACTCCAATCATCAATATCTTTTTACACGCAGTACCGACAGAAAACAGCTGATACCGTGGAATAGATAAAAAGTTTATTAGGAAAACAGTTATCTCTTTTTACTAGATTTCTACCACTTTTTATCTAAAGTAAAAAAAAAACAGGAATATCGATTAGACTTGAATCATGCTTGATCGGTTGTAAAGAAACTAGAAAAGGTGACGGAAAAGAGGAGAACGATGATCGATTTGTCTCGCATTATATTTCTCATTTTCTCGAATCAATCGACATCGGAGAAAGAATTTGAGAGCGTACCCGCGTAATTTGTCAAATCAATCAATCGCAATCGGAATCTCGTGATTGTCTCATTTACTTTATCTGTTTGAGTTCACTGGGCTCATATTTTTGTTCACTGCCATTCACAATACATAAATAATTAAAAATTACATTTTAATATTTTATAAAAAAACCAAGGACTAATACCTCACATCAATCATGATTCTATTAGACTGATTAATACATAATTATTTACATAATACCAGCGACGCGATTGGATCAGCAATCGTTTCAACGTCCCAAAAATACATTTCAATTATGTTCATCTCTACATTCATGCAAATCATTCATCTAAATGTCTTTAGGCATAATTGTGGAATTGGAGTGGAATAAAGAGGTAAGTTTCGAGTTTGTTATCATCTGAGGATTTTACCTGCTAGTGGACTAATGATTAAAATACAGGATTTATTATATTACGGAGAAGATGCTCATCGGTAATGCCGCCTGCTCTTCAATAGTTAATTCATTACTTCAATGATATGATAATTTTATTGGAAATTCCTCCTTTTATCCTCTGACTTATCTCTTTCTTCTACTTCATCACATGATTCTCACAGAGACATGGGGCAAAATGGTATCCGAAAATAATCAACGAATTAACGTCATTCTGTCCCTCATCTTCCCTTCAGTTTTGAGCGAAAGACATGTCGCTTATTCATTTTCTCGTTCTCATTCTGTTATTGAGTCTTAATTTTCGTCACTCGGTGTATGGCGTAGCCAGTGACTGCAGTAATTAGTAAATTAATAGTTTACTTTAATTGATTCGAAGATTAGTGTCTTAGATTCTCATGGAAAGGGACTAGCCGGCAAGATTATCGGCCACACTGGCCACCAATTGTCTGGGGCACACTGCTTGCAGATTATTTTTGTTTATGTCAGTCTCGATTCACGTGCTTGGCAATGTTTGCACTTGAACGTGGAAGATCGACGTGGCATCGGCGATACGACCGCCTGCAAACGCCTCGGTCACACCAGTGTGTTCATTAAGACATTGAGCTCACGGAAAGAGGCACCCATTTGACCGGAGGATGACTGTTTCTTCTGGATTATCGGCCTCAGGGCTTCTAGTCTCTCGTAACATGACAAACACTTGTGGTATCTGGGGAAGAGAGGAGGAATTCTTCAGTCGGTTTGGTCGAAATGAACGTGCTTTCTTGTTTATGCACCCGGAGAAATGATTCATTTGAATTAAGGGGAGACTACTGTGAGTTTTGAAAGTCGTGGGTTATTGGAATGAGACTTTTGAAGATCGATTATATAGATCTGAAAACGAATAATTAGTGCGAACAAATTTTGCTTTATTGTTCGTTTGCCCGAAAACGATTAAAATGCTAAAAACAGTCCAGGGCCTCCAATTTTTGAGCTACAAAAGATTTTTTTTTTTAATTTCCGGAAAAATGTGTGGAACAACAATTATGAGCCACTTTTTTGGAATTCGACTCCTACACAGCTGATTTTTTTTTTTCATATAAAAAAATTCACTATTTGTGTGAAAAAATAAAAAATAACAAATCTAGCCATGTAAGAGGCGAATTGAAAAAAAAATAACTTGTAATTGTTATGCTACATATTTTTCCGAAAATTTTGAAAAAAAAAAATCCTTCGTAGCTCAAGAATTGAAGGCCCTGGACTGGCATTTTAAGCGTTTTCGGGCAAACAAACAATAAAAAAAATTTTTTTTTGCACTAATTATTCATTTTTAGATCTATATAATTGATCTTCAACGTATGAAAAGTCTCACTCCAATAACTCACGACTTTTAAAACTCACAGTAGTCTCCCTTTGAAATATTTAAAATATATTCTCGAGTCTTTCAGAAATATTTTGAGGGGTATTTTACACGAATTGTGCAATTTTTTATTAAAAAGAAATTAAATTAGCTGTGTAGAATTTGCATTTCAAAAAACTAATTCGTAATTGTTATTGTACACATTTTTTCAAAAATTTTTGAATGATTAGCTACAAATAAATAATGATTGGTGAGCAAATTTTTTTCTGGGCAAATTAGTCTTCTCATTTCGCTACAAAATTACTCAATTAATAATCCTATTCAATTTTTTCTTTCGTAATCAACTGAGAATTCTTTTTCGCAAATCAGAAAATCATGAGCTGGATATCCTTTCAACATCCCTTTTCCTTAATTGAAATAAAATTCAATTGCAATCCATGAATCATGAATTACGATGAATTAATCTTCATGAATGATTATTCATAAATAAATAATGATGAATTAGTCTTCTGATTTCGTTACAAAATTACTTAATCAATAATCCCATTCAATTTCCTCCTTTCGTAATCAACTGGGAATTGATCTCTTCTTCAACTCGACAAAATTGAGGCGTTCGCATTTCCAAATGTGAATAAATGCTAATACGAATATTTCGATGGCTAAAAATTCATTGAAAGAATTATCTGCATCAAAATTATGAATATTGATTCCCCCCAATATTAATTAATCAATTCTTCTCCTCAAATCTGAAAATCTTGAGTTGAATACAATCTTAACGTGCCTCATCCTTGATTGAAATAAAGATCCAATCGCAATTCTTGAATAATGAGTTATGACAGATTAATCTTTATGAATGATGGATCATTACCTCTCCTCACGTGAAACATCCACTCCAATGCTGTGCAGCGGCGCCTCAACGTTCGACTTGATCACCGGGGCAAAGTTCCGTAGGATCAGCTTCAACGCAGCGGAACCGACCGTCACGTACCTTTCATCAAAACAGAGAAAAAAGTATAGAATTTTCACGATCGGTGACCAGTCAACTAGGGAAGATATTTATTGCTTGTGAAAGAGGGTATTTCGCACCGTGCGTTACACATTTCCTCGGGAATACACATGTAATACGCGGGCCCACCCACTGTGCTACGCCTCGTTATTTGATAACCCTTTTATTATCCCGTAACGATACTAATAAATAATGTGACACACGCGAGGCGTTTACGCATTCGATCCGCTCGAATTTTGACTCGGCGATAAAGGGTTTGTGCGGAAGTATTGCAAGATGGGGGACATCCGATCACCGTGACTGATTTTAATGGGAGGCCATGAATTTTTCGGTCGATCCACCGAGTTCTGAAACGAAATTTTTTACAGGGTATTTGTCATCGAGCCGAGATTGCAGTTCGAACGATTTTTCTGGCGATAATAGGAAACTTACATGGAGCTCAGTTTTCGTAAATTTTGTTATTCACTCAGTCTATATAACTCATAGATGGCTAAACGAAAAGAATTGTGAAGAAGTATTGGTTAGATGGTTTATATTAATTGATTGAAAATCGGAGGTTTTTGAATCCCACACAAAAAAAATAATTTGAATTTGGGACTTACGATGCCAAATGAGACTTATGGAAGTCTTAAATTGAGACTTTCGAAAATCTTAAGGGGATACGTCGGTGAAATTTAAAAATCTTCACTGGGCCTTGGGACCCATTGAACAGTTTGTGATATATGGCGGAATATGGGAATAACTGGGGAAAATCGTGGACGCGATCGATTTTGCCCCGTGTAACCAGGAAAAACGTCATTTTTTCCTGCTTTTACTCTCAAAATGCTCCTTGCGCTGTAGTTTTCATACGATTCTCGATTTTTTTAAAATGTTCGTTACACTCCCAAGTAATACTCCATACAAGTAATTCTCCTTAGTAATACTATAGAAATTCGTGTACGTGAAAGAACACATCGATTCCAATCAACTTGAATAATAAAGTGCTGAATCATACAAAATTTATCAAATTGTCAGGCGCGCGGAGCGCGCCTTCAATCTCGTTATAGAAATTGAAATTTACACTACATTGGATTCTGAACAGAGCAGATTGGAGAGTAATTCGAGCAGTTGCTTGAGTTCTAATCATTTTCCGTGTCATATCACACTGATATTAAAATTTGGTTGAATTTTCCGGAAAGTCCTTGACTTCGATTTAAGAGGAAAAAGTCAAGGGACTTTCAAGTTTCTCTGAAAATTCAAGTAAAGTCCCAATTTTATAGCGGCGGGAAGACGGAAGTTTCACAATTTACATGAATTTTCAAGTGAAAATGAATTTTCACTACCAAATTCCCTGAAAATTCCAAGGAATTTGGAATTCAAGGAGAGATTTCTCTGAATTTTCCTAATTTTTCATTAATTTTCCCAGATGAATTAAACTGAAATTCACAGTTCCCAGGGATTTTTCCTTGAAATTATGAATCTTCAATGGCAAAATTTCAAAATTTCCTTGAAAATTCAGTGTAAATGTAACTTGTTAGAAACGTCCAAGACTTTTACCGGAAATATCAGTGGAAAATTCATAACAGTGTAGATTAAACCTTGAATTCCCATTGAATGCTCGGATGGATTAGTTATTAAATATAAAAGGAAAAAATGTAATAAGAAATTTGATGTGAAAACGTTCAAACATCAAGTCGATCTGATCAAACATCAGCGCGATATCGCAGTACCTCATTGACGAATGATTTCGAATGAAAATGTAAAAAGACAGTGAATTCCACTGACAATGATCACTTGATGTTAATTGGCCTCATTTACTCCTCACTGAATCGGAATTAATCCGGGAAAATGTGCATTCAATGAATAATAGGATTCCACTGATTTTCCCTGCGATTACGCCGTAAAACACAAATCGCTTCCTGACACTGCTGTTACTTCCTTGCTGGGGATTCAGTACATTCAAAACATTGTATTATGTATGGATTCTATCGTGCTGGATGAGTTTAATAATCAATGAGAAATTCCACATTTCAAACGATAAAATGAAGATTCGATAAACTTTTTATTCATTAAATTTGACGAGAATATTATCGAGATAATTGTAAAGCAGGATTTTGGCTGCCAATTGGCCTCAACATCCTATTAAAGTAGCTTTTCTCTTGCATGGAAAAAATTTAAAAAAATTCATACGCAGTCAGTATTATCTAAATTAAATTTCACAAAATATTCATATTTTTTCAAACATTTCCCTCTTATAAATAAATAATAAAACTTGTTTGCAAAACGGTGGATTATTTTTTATGAGGTGTCAAAAAATTTATTGATTTTTTCGCATCTAATGAAAAAAATTCAGATTTTAATCTTTGATTACAATGGAGATGTTGATTTTCACATAAAGCACTGGGTTAAATCCTGATTTTTAAACATTTCTTCTTTGAAAACTCAAAACAATAATTAAATTGAGAAAAGAATTAGAATCCCGAATCTAATCGAGTTTTCTGGAATTTTTTTGCAGTTTTCAATAATCTTTGAATTTACCATAAGGGTAGAGCTTTAAGTATAACAATTCAAATATTGCAATTTTCACCTATTTTATCAATCAATAATTTGAGTTAAGAAAATTGACGATTACTTGTGTGATCGAGAATCCCCTTTCAAGAAATTTGAATTATTCATTGATTAATAAATTTACAGTTTCATATTAACAAATTTTAAATATATCATTATTCGTAAAAATCAGATTATTAATATTATATTATTTGAAAAATTGAATCAACATATTTCAAACCTTCAATAATGTAAGGGTCAAATCCTTGTGATATTACAGAAATTTAATATTGATGGGAATCCCTTGGGCCAAGTGTCCTCTCCTAGTCCTAGTCCTTAGAGAAATGCGAATTTCTCAGTCATCAAACACCCCAAAAACATACTAGTGTATCTAAAGAGGGTTTCGAATGTATTCATCGTTGTCACATCTATTTTTTTCTCACGCATTTGGGTCATGCAGAGGCCGTCGGCGTGGCGAACGAACCGTGAAAACGTCGAGTAGTTATGCAAACTCAAATACGCCCAAAATGTCCCATTCAAATGTTGACATACTAATCAAACCGACAGATTCATTCCACACTGATTCCCTCAATTCTCTTGAAAAACAATGAAAAATCATAACAAACTTTGAAAAAACGCCGCAACAGCTGTTAACCAGTTGGTAATTAGTAACATTCCCATTTTTACGGGCTCCTGTCATGATTGACGCTCAGTACGGTAAAAGGGCTAATTTTCAGGCTGGCTGACTTCAAAATCAACCGGATGCACCTCGACTGACATCCCCGAGGTGATTAAACGTCGTTTTACGTTTTCTCGGTGGAAACAAAAATTATAAGTATTTTTTCGAGCACGTTTATGGTGTTTCGTGTTATTTGGTGAGTCAAATGGCGGTGGGCGGGAGGAAGTGCCTGTTAAATTCTGGGGCAACAGCTTGTGACTGCGAACAATACAATAATTCATGTTTTCGGAAGCAGAAGAATACAACAGAAGAAATTAATGTAAACGAACGGTTCAGTAATGAAGTGGTAAAATGTAACAGAACGAGTCAATCCTCACGTCTCGTTGAGGATATTGAAGTACTCTGGTAATTGTTTCTCCGTTGAAATGATTTTTCCTTCCGAGTGGAAGTCTTGAATTTGACGGATTTTGCGATTTTCTAATTTTGATTGCAAATGGTCTAGATAACGGTCACGGGGGTCAGGTTAAGGGCCACTGGGGTTAGATTAAGGGTCATGAGGGTCAGATTAAGGGTAATAAGAGTAGGAATAAAGGTCACGAGGGTCATATTGAAGGTCATGAGGGTCAAAATAACGGTCATGAGGGTTGGATTAAGGGCCACAGGGGTTAGATTAATGGTCATGAGGGTCATATGAAGGGTCATGAGGGTTAGATTAAGGGCTACTGGGGTTAGATTAAGGGTGATGAGGGTCAGATTAAGGCTCATAAGGGTAAGAATAAAGGTCACGAGGGTCAAAATAAGGGTCACGAGGGTGAGATTAAGGGCCACAGGGGTTAGATTAATGGTCATGAGGGTCATGAGGGTTAGATTAAGGGCCGCTGGGGTTAGATTAAGGGTGATGAGGCTCAGATTAAGGGTAAGAATAAAGGTCGCGAGGGTCAAAATAAGGGTCACGAGGGTGAGATTAAGGGTCACAGGGGTTAGATTAATGGTCATGAGGGTCAGATTAAGGTCCGCAAGGGTCAGAATAAGGATGATGGGTTGGTGAGCAGAGCGAGCAGGGGGCATAGCCCCCTTGTATTATTATAATATGATATTATAATATTAATTATAATATTAATAATATAAAATTTCTGCGTAAAATAAATTGGTGCTGACACACCTCTCCACTACTTAAATAAAGAAACAAAACGGACCATAAAAACGGATGAACAACTAAACAAATTAACTGAATGACGGAAATAAATTGCATATAATAGTCAGTTTTATTATTATTTGAAATAAAATAGAATGTCAGTCGAAAAAAGAACGAAATAAAATTGTGGAACACAACACGTGGCGGAGTAACACAATTTATCTCCTTGAAGAGCATCGTAAAAAAAGGGGTCATCGGCATATGCACAGTGGGACGAGCCCTTCAAAAGAGTTCGATGCGTCCTCCGAACAATGGCGCTCGCGTTCAGTTTGAATTTGCATCTGTCACGGTCTCACATTGTCTTGGCTAATTTTCTCCACGCCCCCCCTATCCCGAGTTTTCAAATCTCGACGCAAATTAGCTATTCCCATTTTAGATTCAAAATTCACACGTCAGACGAGTGGATATGTGTGTTTTTTTCCTTCTTTAATCTTTTAATGCGAAACGGGAGCTCTTTCGAAAGCTTCACGTCAGTCAGCGAGAGAGATATCATATTCATAGTGAATTGTTTCCCCCCACACTCGGGGTTTTCAATGGCGGATGGACTGCAACAAATATGCAGATGATGGTAGGTTGCGCAACTGAGTGGAACGTCGATATCGCCATAAATGGAAAGCCACCCACCTTCGGGCCAGTGTGCTCTCGTAGAAAAAATTATTTTTATTGAGATGTTTTTTCCTTGGAACCAGTGTTATATACTTGAACCAATTTCAAATCAATAAAATCTCAATGGTGAATATCAATTATTCTTTTTTGAGATACATTTACTTGGATCAGATGCAGAAGGAAAAGTTCAATTTTTTTAGAGAAACTTTCAGAATTTTGAAATCAAGATACAAAAAAATCAACTTGTAACCACTCATCGCGGCATTAGCTACAAAAATTTAGAAATAGATCATGTTTTAAATTCAATAATATTACACCAGTCTTTTTGCCTTGTCGCCCACTTGAATTTCATGGTCAAATAGGAAAAAAGCGTGTTATCTATCCAAAGATTTTACATCGTAATAATAAATTCAGAGGGGAAGAAGTGAACGCTTATGAATTGAATTTAGAATTTCAATTGATTTTCATCGATGTCGATCCATTGTTTTTTAGTTCAAAAAAATTAAAGTAGCTCTACCCTTACGGTTAATTCAAAGATTATTGAAAACTGCAAAAAAATTGCAGAAAACTCGATTAGATTCGGAATTCTAATTTTTTTCTCAATTTAATTATCGTTTTGGTTTTTTAAAGAAGAAATGTTTCAAAATCGGGACTTAACCCAGTGTTTTATGTGAAAATCAACATCTCCATTGTAATCAAAGATTAAAATCTGATTTTTTTTTTATTAGATGTGAAAAAATCAGTAATTATTTTGACACCTCATAAAAAATAATCCATCGTTTTAAAAACAAGTTTTATTATTTATTTATAAGAAGGAAATGTTTGAAAAAATATCAATATTTTGCGAAATTTAATTTAGATAATACTGACTGGGTATGAATTTTTTCAATTTTTTTCCATGCAAGTTAGTTGAAAAATTAAAAAAATGAAAATACCCAAAAGTACAGCGTAGCCCGGCCGAAGGGTAGAAGAGCTACTTCAAACAAAAAATGTCGCCTGGTTTTTCTCCCTAAACAATATTATATTCATTTATCACAAAAATTCAATATTTTCGAAAATCAAGATAGGAAAAAATCGACTTGTAATCATTCATCGCGTCATTAGCTACCAAAGTTTAAAAATAGATAAAGTTTTTAATCCAACACCATTACATTATGTTTTGCCTTGTCGCCCACTTGAATTCTCATGATCAAATAAGAAAAACGCGAGTCATTTATCCGAAGATTCTACATTGTAAACAAAATTCAGAGGTGAAATAGTAAACGCTTGTGAATTGAAGTTAAGATTTTCTTTTTTTTTCCTGATGTCAATAAAAAAAAAAAAAATATCGTCTGGTTTTTCAACCTAAACAATATTATATTCATTCATCACAGAATTTCAATATTTACCAAAATCAAGATGTAAAAAAATTGACTTGCACCCATTCATTGCGTCATTAACTACCAAAATTCGACGTTAGATAAAGTTTTCAATCCAAAACCGTTGCATCACACAAAAATACTTGGAAAAACAGCTATGAATTCGGCATGCAGACTTTCTCTCCATCGCCAACGCAGTGTAAAAAAAACCGAACGCAATAGGATGAAAAAAATATTATGATGAGTCTGTGGTTGAAGGATAAACCGCAGAACCACTGGGGAAGATTCACGCACGACTCTCGTGGTCTCGTAACTTTCAAGCCATCGTGACTTTGAAGATTAAAAAAAATTCAGCATAAACTTTACTTACATTTCATATTTGCTTTGAAGGAGCTCGGCTATTGGCCTCAGGAGAGAGTTACACATGTCTAGATTCCACATTGTTCTAGAACATAATAAAAACACATTTGTCATGCCCCTCCTACATGAAGCTTTAGCCGGAAGTGAAATAAAAATGAGTCTTTATTGAAGTGCGATGTTGAGGATGACTCGGGCATCTCATTGGACGAATGTTTGAGGCCTTCAACAAAGAACTTGATTTTTTCTTTATCGAGAGCATCAAATGCGTATTAAAAATTCATCATGCTTTCGTCATATCAGGCTAGATAACTATCTGCGGATTATTATCAGCATTTAATGCACGGGGAAAAAAGTTGCAGAAAAGTACCGTGCACTGAAAGAAAAACGAACAAGTCCTGTATGGGCCAACAAAATCGTTTGTTGAAAATTACCAAAAAAATTACAGGCGGCTGTATCTTCGATACAGCTATACTTGTACGTGGACACGTCCATGGTCTTTCCTTCTTTCTCGAATTTCCTAGAAACTCCCTTGCATTCCCTCGAATTTTCTGGAAACTCCTTGAATTTTTTCGAAATTTCAAGAAACTTCTCAAATTACCTCGAACTGTCCCGAATTTTCTAGAATTCCAATAGATGGCCCTGCACATAAGGACTATTTGCCAAAATGATCCCCCATATTGAAACCATAGACGTATCCACGCCAAAAAAATTAATTGTTTATTGTTCGTTTGCCCCGCAGACGTGTAAAATGTTAAAAATAGTCCACAGCCTCCAAATTTAAGCTACAGAGGTTTTTCTTTTATTTTTGAAAAAATGTGTACAATAACAATTACGAATTAGTTTTCTGAAATTCGACTCCTACTAATTTCTATAGCTAATTTCGTTTTGTTTGATATGAAAATTTGCGTCATTCATGTGATATAGATAGAAAAATTATCCTTAAATATTTAAAATATATTCTGGATTCTTTCACAAATATTTTTCGAGCTATTTTACATGAGTAGAACCATTTTTTATTAAAAAAACGAAATTAGCTGTGTAGGAGGTGCATTAAAAAAAACGAATTTGTAATTGTTATTGCACATATTTTCCCAAAATTTTGAAAAAAAACCCTTCGTAGGTCACAAAATTGGAGGTCCTGGATTATTTTTAACATCACGGACGAAAAAATTTAATAGAAAAACCTATCGAATTCGTTAGAAAATTCTATTGAATTTCTATTGAACTGTTCTATTAGTTTTTGGCCGATTCTATTGAAATGTTCAATAGAAAATATTCAGTCGGAAAGTCAATAGAATTCAATTTTTCTATACAACTTATTCTATTGACATATTTTCTATAGAATTTCCTCGGCTCAAATTTTCTAAGTTTTTTCGTTTGATTTTCTTGATGAGAAGAAAAGAAAAATAGAATGAAAAAAACTTAGAAAATTTGAGTCGAGCAAATTCTATAGAAAATATATGAAAAGAATAAGTTATATAGAAAAATCGAATTCTGTTGACTTTTTCTATTGAATGTTTTCTATTGAACATGCCAATAGAATCAGCCAAAAACTAATAGAAAGTGTAATAGAAATTCAATAGAATTTTCCAGCGAATTCGATAGGTTGTTCTATTAAATTTTTTCGTGTGTGATTTTAAGCGTCTGCGGGGAAATGAACAATAAACAATTAATTTTTCTGCACTGATTATTAGTTTTTAGACATATATAATCGATCTTCAATGCATGAGACATCTCACCCCAATAGCCCGCGAATTTTAAACCTCATAGTAGTCTCCCCATAATATTTCCAGAAGAGGGAAAATTGATGAGACCTTTACCTCGCTTATTTTCTCCGTAGGACGGCGATTCTCTAACAAATGTAAAGAATCTTTCCAATCTGTCTCAGGCGGAGATTCATATTTATTCCTGATATGAGCCCGATTTGAACAAATACGAACGTCTGCCTCAGTCTGATCACACCGAAACAAATATCTGAAATCCGTCCGAGACAGATCCTTCATATTTCTTGAAAGATCTTCGTCCGACGGAGAACATGATCGAGTCAAGAATCCCATCTGTTTTCGCTTCAGATTTTTTCCGAGTTTACAAGTAAAAAATTCCGAAAGAAAATTTCGCATCACTTTTACGTTTTGTCACGTAATTTTTCCAGAAGTTTTTGCTCTGTGTGAAAATGAAATGAGATTTTAATCTCCTCAGAGTCAAGATCCAGATATTGGAAAATGAGTGATTATTGTGAACATGCTCCACACCGACATAGCATCTCCTCGCCAAATCTATTTTCTCATTGTGTTAAGAAAACGGTATGTCAGTATCAAAGTATGCCTCGTTATGCAAGGTTGCGCGCCGCATATTCGATTTTTACATTTTTATTCACACAAGATCTATGCGCGCGCTCTCGCGCGCGCTGCTCTATTCATTTGTTGAAATGAAGAAATGGAATTCATTGAATTTCATTTTCTCATGAATACCTTATAAATATTGATAATGAATCAAAGAGAATTCGACTAATGATTGAAGTGAATAGCGAAGTAGAGTAACAGAATCTATGAAGAATTTTTCATTTGCAATTAATTATCTTCAATTTTTTTAAATAATCGGTCTCCATAACAGGACAGAATTTATTAATTTCACCGATGATATATATACATATGAAATATATATATTATATGACGTGAAAAAAAAATTGACCACTGAAGAATTTGAAAATGCCGTGTTTTTTTTTGTGAATAACTTCGTGTTACATATTGACCAATCAGAATTAAGGATTAGCGGTCCGGCAATTTCGAGATATTTCGATATAAAACAACTTCACGTTTCTTTCATCTTTAGTAAATAGGATTATGGATTACTAAACTTCGACAATTAGCACTTGGGAGGCATGAAATTCTGTACTACTAATATGAAATTGGGGGTCTTGGCAGCATTCAACTATTTCTTAATTGAATTATTCTTTATATTGTTATTTTCACTTCAAATAATTTTTTTCTGCTAAATAAAACATTCTTGAAGGTATGGAAGCCATCATATCCCCATTTATGTGATTCTTTTATTTTAGATCCCACCACGAAACTCGAATTTCCCTTAACCGTCCAGCAATCGGCCTGTTCACCCTATTTGCTTGTTTCAATGTTCGCGTCAAGGATTCCGTCAGTTTTCGCTTTAGATTTTTTCCGAGTTTTTAAGTAAAAATTCCCGAAAGAGAATCACTTTTACATTTTGTCACGTAATTTTTTCTGATTTTTTCTCTCAGTGTGATGATGAAATCACATTTTTATTATCAATTTTTAAAAAATCCAATTTTCTAAATAGAAAAAAAAAATTCATGGATTAACTCAAATTATCCAAATCTGTCAAAACACGTGTTTATCTTCAAATTTTTGAACTTATCGAGTCCCTTCGATTCGAGTGACTAGTATAAAATTGTGACAAATGACACATATGTATATTATTCTCCATCAATAAAAACAGAATGTGTCTTCTTTACAATCCATGAACGACCCCGACATCCTCTACAAATTCAATAGTGAAGTGATAAAACGCTGTGACTTAATTCAGCTCAGGGTTTTGTCTTAACAAAGTCTCTTGGAATGCAAAGTAAATAACAGGATTTTTGTCTAAGCCTCTATTGTACCTCTCATTCTACGCCGAGGAAAAAATATATTTTTTCCAAATATCCATTTACTTGAGAGAAGTATTTATTTTTCAATATCGTATTTCTCCAACTGACTCACTCACAGGCAATTCTCATTAGGTTTAAATTATGACAAATATATTGTTTTAGAAGATGATCATGTTAGTTATGACCTTGAGTGAACTCCCTCAATAATTATCAACATTAAAAAATTAGTCGGAATTCTTCCCTTTAGAAAATGAGAAATTCCCCGATAGAGAATCAAAAAGACCTACTATGAGATGTTTTATTTAAACGCATGAGATATTTTTATTTAAAAAACCAATAATTGTTCAAAAAATTGAATTTCTATTTAACCATTCTATTCTTGAACCAGTGGGCTATCATGTAAAAAATGGGGATAACTTAAAAAATTTGAAGTCCTGGAACTCGGTCAAAGTTCATTAATTTCCACGGTATATGAAAAACGTGGGTTTTTTCAACTTCTCATCATAGTAACGCAGAAACTATTGGATGAAAAGAAATGAAACTCCGTATTGAAGTAGAGTAATATTCAATCTAACGAATGAAATTGGCTCCACAGTCGTGCGATTTTTTTTCATGAAGATGCAAGCCTCCAAAGTTTACGGACTACATTTTTGAAAAGGATAGACTCATTTCGCTCCACGATTACTTGACTTGTTTGGTAATTTTCCTCCAACGTTTTTCTCCATGCAAGGATCAATTCTTAAAAATTAGAACTTTTCTCTCCGCATTAAAAAAATTGTAAAAACTGCATGTAATGATGGAAAAAACTCACGGTTTGAGTGTGAGCACCCCAAGCAGATCGACGATCACCGAGAGATCGTTCATGGTAACAGCCGAGTCAATGGCCGATTTCACGTCCTTGCTGTGCCACAATGAATAAATAATCTGAAGCGACCTGTGCCTGTTATTCAGCACAGTCATCATGGACTCATGACCCCGCATAATGCTGTTGATGACCTCAGCCTCGGACATCTCGGGGAGTCCCTGGCTGCATCCCAGTCTAGCCGGGCCCCCATAGCTGTTGGGCAAAAAATCATCAACATCCAGGCCCACAGCTTTATCAGGTGACATGGGCACAAAGTCATCCTTCTCAGTGGGCTCGACATTCGGCCTCAGCTGGGCAACTCTGATCTCCACTTTTGGATTAGGTGGCACCTGCGCTCGATTAATTTTCTTTCCCCCTACCGAGTTTCTCGCCGAGAATGCCCCAGAATTTATGAAATTCCTGGCCATCGAGGTACGAGTTTGCCCGGTATTCGGCCTGTTCAAGGCCGGATCAGATGGACTGTGTCTAATACTCGTATTAATTTTCACTGGGAAATCACTCTCGTACCCCTCACCCTCCTTGCAACTTGTCTGGCGTTTTAGAAAGTGTTTCGGTGAGTCTGGACTGGGAGCTCGACTCTTCGACTTTCCATCACCCATAACTGGTGACACTGCTGCCATTGGAGCTACTCGGGATGTCAGCGTTGAGTTGGAACGCTGGGGACCCATCGGTTGACTCAAGTGATTCACTGAAAAACGAAATGATTTTTTTCCTTCAATTCCGTCTCACTCGTGTCGAAATGTACTACTTCCATGTAGGGTAAACAGGTCGATTTCTGGACGGGGGTTAGTTTCCGGACGATTTCAACTTGCATTGATAAATAAAATGAATTCGATCAATAAAATGAAAATTGTTATGATTATTTCATCTTTCAATAATATTACTTTTTCAACGATTTTTTGATTGTACCGTCATAATTTTTGGAGACTCCAGGGCTATGGGAAACTGAATAGCAATTGGAGATCATTTCAGATTATCAAAATAAAAAAAACAACCAAGATCACGGTTGAAAGATAATCCACCCGGGCCTTAATTATTTTTTGTTCTGTTATTTTCTTTTCAAATATTTTTTTTCTGCTGATTAAAACATTCTTGAAGGTATGGAAGCCATCATATCCCTATTTAGGTGACTCTTTTATTTTAGATCCTACCAGGAAACTCGAATTTCCCTTAACCCTTCAGCCTGCTACCCAGAATAGAGCTTGCATGAAGCTCAATTCTTTCTAATTCCCCTATTCACACATTCCTCATAACATAAGGATAGCTAAACGGCGGAAATTATGGAGAAATATTGATGTGTAGATACATAGATATGTAGGTGATAAATATGAATTAATTCCTCTGCACTAATTGGACAAAGTTAAGAGACGATAAACAGAGATGTAATTACTATAGTCTAAGATACCACCACTGATAGTAAATAAATCACACGTGAGAATTTTACACTTTGAATAAACAGAGACAAAATCGAGAGATTGAAGTGATTGAAGGGTAAAGTGAGATAAGTTTACGTGAAAACAAGTTTGTGATAAACATCTCAGAACGTAAGAGATACAAATAGACTTTTATGAAGACTTTTTTTATAAAAGAGAATGTAAGCTACAAAAGAAGAATTTCCAAAAATTCCGGAATCTGCATTGTTTCTAAGATATTTAGAAACAGGTTGTTATATCACAGGAACTGCTGGATCAAAAAATTGAACCTATTTGTGCAAAATTGCACTAGGCAATATTCAATTTGAGAGATATATTCAGCAGCGATCGGCCGACAATCATTACATTTGTAATATTTTGTAATATTATCAGAATTTGAAAGTTTCCATTACTATGATTTTATTATCTTACTTGAAATTTGAAAATATTAAAATAATTCGTAATTTAAATTTTCTATTAACCGCTGAGTAAATAATTTTAAATTTCAGAAAAGGATTTTTCAATTATACATGTAATCGTCAACCTTCTGAGCCGATTACTGGTTAATAGATTATTTCGGAATTTGCATATTCGATTGATGATTAATTTGGTAATTAAAAATTGTCGAGTGATATTATCGGTTAACAGAAGCTAAATTGAACTTATTTTGAAATTGATGATTATTCTGATCTCTGAAATTCAGACAAGTTAAAAATCGACAAATAAAATTTGTCGATTACTGGTTAATAGATTATTTCGGAATTTGCATATTCGATTGATGATTAATTTGGTAATTAAAAATTGTCGAGTGATATTATCAGTTAACAGAAGCTAAATTGAACTTATTTTGAAATTGATGATTATTCTGATCTCTGAAATTCAGACAAGTTAAAAATCGACAAATAAAAATGTAGATACGATAGTCTGAGATATACCACCGACTGTGTAAATACATCACTTGTAAAGCTCCTGCACTTTGACTAATTAAAAAACAATCGAGAGTTTCCAGCCATTAAGCGGTACGACGAGAAAAGTTTGCTTGAAAACAAGTTTCTGACAAACATGCCGGAACCTAAGAGAGACAAATAAATTTTTCCGGAGACTGTTTTTTTATAAAGCATGATGTAAGCTACAACAGAAGTAATTGCAAAAATTTCGATATCTCTGTCGTTTTCCAAGGTATTTAGAAAAAAATAAACTCAAATTGATACAATAAGAGGCTATCAATGCACCGTTGGGTTTTCCATTGATATCTTTGAGTCCAGAAGAAACGGAAGCAATATTTTTTCCGGAAGAAATAGAAATTTGGTATTTCGAAGCATTTCCTATTTCAAACGTATTTCAGCACCTAAAACGTTCAGAATATTGGACCTATTCATGCAAAACTGCACAAGTAAAATTTAATTTGAGAGATAAATTCAGACAGATTAAAAATCAATAAAAAAATATAGATACGATAGTGTGAGATACTACCACCGACTGGATAAATAAATCACATGTGAAATTCCTGCACGTTGATTAAATTTAAAAAATCGAGGTTCTAGTAATTAAGTGGTAAAACAAGATAGATTGAAAACAAGTTTCTGATAAACATCTCAGAACCTAAGAGAGACAAATAAATTTTTATAAAGACTTTTTTTCATAAAGCAGAATGTGAACTACAAAAGAAGTATTCCCTAAAATTTCAATATCTTCATTGTTTTCTAAGATATTCCGAAAAAATTGAACCAAAATTGGTACAATATGATGCAATCAACGCAAAGTTGGGTTTTCCATTAATATCTTTGAGTCTACAATAGAAGTATATGAAAAATGGAGAAATATGCGAAAATCACACGGTCGTATTTCAGAACGGAAAATGCTCAGAATATTAGACCTATTCATGTAAAACTGCACTAGTCAGACTTAATTTGAGAGATATATTCAGACAGGTTAAAAATCAATAAAAAGATGTAGATACGATAGTCTGATATACCACCACCAATTGGGTAAATAAATCACAAGTAAAACCCATGCACTTTGAGTTAATTTTTCAAAAATCGAGAGTTGGCAATAATGAAGTGGCAAAACGAGAAAAGTTTACTTGGAAACAAGTTTCTGACAAACATCTCACAACCTGAGAGAGACAAATAAATTCTTATGAAAGCTGTGTTTTGTAAAGCGGAATGTAAGCTGGAAAAGAATTATTTACAAAAAATGTCAACATCTCCATTGTTTTTTGAGACATCTAGGAACAATTGAACTCAAATTAGTACAAAAAGATGAGTCAATGCAACGTTGGGTTCTGAATAAATATTTTCGAGTCTAAAGGTGATAGGAAACTATTCCAGATGTTCGAACACATTTTCTTTGATGCTCGTGTGATCATCATCCGTAATATGACAATTCAGCTGTCGATACGTATTCAATCGATTAAATTGATCTTCTTTTAATCGCTAATACTCTAATATTTCTTTTGAATAATTACGGCGTCGAAAGAGAATTTCCATAACGAGATTTTTGTAAAAAAAAAAGATTGTATTAAAATTTAGCTATCTCCCTTCAATCTCGAGATATTCTCCAAAAACGTCTTGACAAAAAATAGTCCTTGAGGAAATTTCTCTCTCGCTCTGGGATTCATCAAAGTTATTCAACAGAAACTGACCTTGAATTGGTGAAACGAGATGATTCATCTCGGCTCCACAAAATTTCTAACGAATATCTTCGAACGTAATGGTAATAGCAAAATTCTCCTAAGAATTGTTTTTAGTCAGCAAGAATTGTTTTTAGTCAGCATAAGGGCCACGAAAAATATAATCTCGAGAAACTCGCCATCTCCTTCCAATTCATTTTAAATAACAAGTGGATAAATGTATTAAATAACAAGTGGATAATTGCATTTTTTATGACTGAGTACAGTTATTGTTGCTAATAAATTAGCAATTTGCTTCCGAATCGATTCTTTTTTTTCTCATTTTTATTTTACTATTATCTTCTTCTCGTTTTTAATGTCATAGTGTTATCATCAATTGAAATGTCATCAAAATCTTTGCCTATTATTTTGTTCTCTCAAATGATTCTATATTCAGACCTTCACAAGATTTGAATTGGGTCTTGGGCAGGGTTTAATTAAGGTTCAAGCAAGGTTTAGTCAGGATTTAACCGGAGTTCAATCCCTGTTTAGTCAGAAATCGGGACTAATACCAGAGTTTAATGGAGATCGAGATAAATAAAATTGTCAAGCTCTGAGTTAATAGATATTACTAATGATTCTTTCAGTAGTCATAAAAAAACCATTTTCTCGTTCAAATCGAAAAAACAACAGCAACGAATAGTGGAATGAAGATAGTATTGATATACCCGTTTTGAGCCATTAATAATTTCGTTTTGATGACAATTTTTTGCGTGATCGTTAAAAAATCGATTTTTAGAAAAATGTAATTTTTTTCAAAACTTCATGAAAAATTTAAATTTGATTGATCTCAATGTATACAGCTTATTAAAATCTATACTCATGAAAAAATGAATGGAAATTTGATAGATCCCTTATAAGAAAATTTCGAAAACAAATTTTTTAAGACTAGATACATATAAACATACATCACTAAAAATCTTATATTCGGACTCAAACATTGGAAATTTAGGAGAGAGTGGGGCAAAATGAAACAGTCAAAAAACGACTGTTGACGTAATTCGAGCAGAAAAAATGTTTATCAACCATTTTTTTTCTCATCTTTTGTTTATCAACTTTTGTCATTATTGGAAGTACTGATGAGAATAATAATTTTTCATTCAGTAGAATGGAAAATTATTGAGAATTTTTAACTGGAGAAGATTTTGTCAATGCATTAATAGAAAAGAAAATGAAACAGCAAAAATCCAAAGACCCGAGGAAGCCCCAGGGGGCGACCCAGAGGGGGAAAAAGGAAAATGTGATGCTGAATTTCAATCGAATGAAAAAAGAAAAGTGCAATCGCTCTGATCTAATCAATTGAATTACAGATGAAATATTTCATATTACCTGAAAAGAGAACTTTGGATAAAATTAACGAAAATTATTAATATTGTCGTCTCGATATAAGAAATATATGAAAAACCTTCGGGAGCTTCGAATGAAGAGAGAACATCGACTCAGCGATGACTACACTATACTATAGGGCTTTCGAATATTAGTGATTTTTTCGCACCGCCTGTTCTTTTCTACCGAATAGAAAATTATTACTCTCATCAGTACTCCCAATAATAAAAAAAAGTTAATAAACAAAAGTTAATAAAAAAAATTTTCTTTTGCTTGAATTGCGTCAAATAGTCGTTTTTCATTTAATTTCTGTATCATTTTGCCCCACTCTCCCCTAAATTTGAGCAATTACAAAGCTCCCATTCGGAGCCAAAAACCGAAAGTCCAAATGAAGCTCATCTCGTTTTACGACTTCACGCCTGACTCAATAAAAAACAGGTTCTCCCTGAAACAATTTTAACATACCTGAAGATTTCCTCCCAATGACTGGCATGATACTCTGCTTCATAGGAGGCACTTGCGCAAAATTCTTGGTATTTTTCGCAATATTGTTGGCCTGCAGATTGGCCTTTATCTGACTGGTTGAGGTGAACGTGTGCCTCTGCAGTGGTGGTGACGATTTTATTGGATTGACACGTACTGGCACTGGCTTTGTCATTGATAAACTCGGGGGCTGGGCAGACGATGTCGGAGAGAGATCATAGTCATTGTCCAGTGTTCCCGTCGTACTTAAACTCGTCATTGAGGTAGAGAGGTTTTGAATAATTTGTGGTTGAGTTGGATCTGCAATCACATCGATCATGACCCGATAAAATTCACAAATTGATCAATGGTTCGTGCATCTATGGATGAATTAATGAGGAGGGAGATCACACGCATAAAAAAATGAGAATGAGCATGAGAAAATTATTGACGAAGACCTTGAAGAAATGGAAAACAGATGCTGTTATCCAGTCTCGCGAAACAATGCATATTATCCTGATTGTCGAAAGGCGATAGGACATGCAGCGGTATGACTAACGGTAATACTGAGCTTTTGACCTGGCGACGACAACTCACCTATCTCTTGAGGCACCGGGAAAGCCTCGGGTTCCGGTGGCGGTGTGCGATTCACTGAAACATAGCGTGCAACATGCTCATTCAACAAAAAACAAACCGTTACGGACAACTCCGGGTTCATTAGACATTGAGGGATTGCATTATTTGTTGTATTATTATCTCTCGAATTAGCACGATAAGTCGTGCAAGGCTACACACAGTGGCTCTAGACAGTTTTCCAGTGCTGAAGACTGTGATTATGAGAATACGATGAGTCGAAGGGTTTTTCAATCATTTCAGTGGTGGAGTGGTCGAGTTCTTGGTGGAAGAGAGTATGGCGAAGGGCCAAAAATGCAATGAAAATTCTGGAAAAAATTCGGAATTGAGGTTTTTGCATCTTGAATCCATCCAGAAATATTTGGAATGGCGATTGAAACGGTTTTCGAGATAATTGAGGGTATCCCATAGGCTAAATCCAAATAAATCAAATTGTTGATTTGTACGGATTTTTATCTAATGAGGAAGTGAATCAAATGAGTCAATTTTGTTCATCTGCTTTTTGATAGGTATCTTTAAATTTCGTGAACCAAGGTTAGGGCTATAAAGGGCCCCTCAACAACAATGGGAATCTATTGTGTTTGAGGCATTATATGGCGAGAGTCTATAATGAGAGAAATAAATAGTTACTCAAACAAGTCTTGTTTTAACCAGAAAAATTGCTTAATTTAGTGCAAAATTTGGAAAGATGAATTTGAAAAAAAAAATTATTTATTATTTTTATTTATTATTCCAGAAATATATGGAATGGGCGATGACAACGGTTTTCCAGATAATTCAGGATTTCCGAGTATCTTTCACAGTTTGGTAGAGACCACATTATAATTTCAACCATTTTTAATCATTGAATTTGTCCATTAAATGGCGGAGAAAAAATTGAAAAAAATCAGGAATATTCCGCGTTATTCAAATTACATTTTACATAGAATTATTATTTTTTGAAATATTCGTTGTTCATAGATGAATAATTGCAATTGTTTAAACTTTTGGAAATCTCATTTTCTTAGGCATGAAATCGATTTCTGGTAAAATTCTGAATAGGAATAAATTTGTTACGATTCCGAACAAATGATTTTTATGGTGTAAAATTAATTGCTTATAAATTATTTATGCTCGCAATTTTCAAAAATTGCTTTTTGTTAATTTTTCCATAAATATCTCTCCAAAAGAAAACTCTCATTTTTTCAGATTTTTTAAATGTTTTCGGACGGTTCAATATCGAGATTGAAATTCAGACCTTCAAAGTTTAAATAATAAAATCATTTTAAAATGTCTGGAAGCTTTGGTTCAAATCGGGCTCAAATGAAAGCTCTGATGTTCGACTAGAAAAGTATAAAAGATATTTGTAAAGACTTGACGTGAAATTAATCGAAATTATTACAATATCTTCATAAAAAAACTCAACTCGAAGGTGATTAGATTGACTCATCGAGTAACGACATCCTAATGCTAGTTCGTGATAAGTACGTTTCCAATGTAATAGAGGTGACGCAATTCTCATAAGAAATTTATTTGTAGAGGAAAAAGAAAATTATGAAAAATGTCATGACAATGACACCACGTCCATTAGGGTTCAGAGATATTCTTCTACAAATTCCCTCGAAAACAAGTGAAATGATTATTCAGTAATGAAACGCTAATTACAGCTTCTTATAAATAGGCTCGCATGTAATGGAGATTGTAAAATCATTTCTGTATTCCTGTTTATACTGGGGAGTGAGGGGAGTCATATGTAAAAGCCTGGAAGGTCATACATGTCTGAAATAAAAACTCGAATATTGTACTAGATATAGAAAAACTTGTTTTTTTCCTATGAGAAAGGTTCTTATGAGAATTTAGTAGCGACGCGGTAAAAAGGTTTCAGTCGATTTAGGCCTCAGCTGAGTTTTTGAGAAATATCTCCCAATCTAAGGCAGATAACGAAATTTGTGTAATGACCTTTTTTGTAGATTGAATTGAGGGTTGCATAAAGGGTTTTCACAAAACTTTTGCTATCTCCCTTAGATTCAGAGATATTCATTGAAAATTGGCTAATAGTAAAAATCGACTTAACGATTTGGAAGTACTTTGGCTATTTTTTCTCCAGTGAAAATCAGAGCTTTCTTTTGTGCTGTGTTTGACCCTAACTTCCTGGACATTTTACAATGATTTTATTATTTAAAGTTTTCAGGTCTGAATTTGAATCTCGATATTGAATCGTTAAAAAACATTTTTTAAATCTGAAAAAAAATTATGAAGTTTACTTTGGAGGAAGATTGATGAAATAATTAAAAAATCGCAATTCTTGAAAATTATGCGCATTGAGTTAAAGCAATTTATAAAGTTAAAGAGTTATAAATAAATTTCAATAACTTATTTATAAATAACAAATGTTTTCAGAAATAATTCTGTACAAAATGTAATTTCAGCGCCGTTGAATATTCATAATTTTGTTCAAATTTTTCTCACGCAATTTAAATGACAAATTTGATGATTGAAAATGGTTGAATCTATAGTGCGGTCTTCTTCTGCTTCACTACTTTCGTAGTCGAAGATCAGAGCCCCATTTGACCCGAAATTTCCGGAAATTTTACAATGATTATATTATTTAAACTTTGCAGGTCTGATTTTAAATCTCCATACTAAATCGTTAGAAAATATTTGAAAAATCTGAATAAATTATACAGTTTACTTGTGGAGGAAGATTGATGAAATAATTAAAAAACTGCAATTTTCCGCCATAAAAACCATTTGTTTGAAATCGCCACAAATTCATTCATATTCAGAATTTCACCAGAAATCTATTTCACGCCTGAAAAAATAAGGTTTCCGAAAGTTTAAACAGTTTCAAGTATTTATTCATAAACAACCAATGTTTTAAGACATTATAATTCTCTGCAAAACGTAATTTGAATAACGTTGAATTTTCATAATTTTTTTCAAATGTTTCTCAGGCAATTTCATTAAAATTTTGACAAATCAGTAGTGAAGTTGTAAACCGGATTAAGTCGATTTTGACTTTTCGTCAGTTTTTGATGAATATCTCGGAATCTAAGGGAGATAACAAAATTGTTCTCATTACCTTTTTTATAACCCTCAATTGGCTCGACAAAAAAGGTCATGACAAAAAAATGTCTATCTCTTTTAGATTCCGAGATATTCGGCAAAAACTGGCCAATAGTAAAAATCGACTTGACCCGGATACCGCTTCACTACTAAAATTTGTATATCCTTAAACCATTTTACCGCATCGCTGCTGAATTCAACACCCTTTACCCCAGAACTCTACTCATCGAAGACTCCTAAAGTGAAATTGACTCGCCCGACTCCCTAATTTCACTCCTAAATTGATTGATTTCCCTCCCCTCGTTCTCTCATTCCAATAATCACAGGCAATTATCAGTGTGAAACTTACATGATCGATGAGGCTGGAAGATATCCTGATAATCCGTGACATTTGGGATTTCCGCAAGTGTTACTTCGTCCTCGGGGTCTGTCCCAGATTTATCCTCTTCAATCGTCTTAACATTAATAGATGCCTTTTTCGCTGGGGTCTCCCTCGAGAAACTCTTCCTCGTGGGATTCCCATGAACAAATTGCGAGACATTACCGAACGGTTTAATCTGCTTCATATCACAGACAAATGAAACCACGGAGGAGCCACTTGAACTGGCACCAATCAGTTGATTCTGGGCTATTGCAATGTCCTGAACTTTTCCCCAGCCCGTTGGCACTGTGTCCAACGTTCTCGCTGGCTCCCAACAGTGGACCTTCAGGACATCTTGACAGCCAGCGAAAAGACATTCTCCCCCCGGGCTGAAGAGGAGACATTTTATTGGAGCCACGTTTTGTTCGGTTGATGACACCAACTGGAACGACTCGAGGTCCCAGAAGTTGACAGTTCTGTCAGCACTGCCACTGGCCAGTAAAAACTCGTGGGGATGGAATTCCACGGTTGTCGCTGAGCGCTTGTGCTCGGTGAATTCTTTCAGCTGTCTTCCAGCACGCAAATCCCATAGCTTAAATCAAAATAAATCAAATTGTTGATTCGTACGGATTTTTATCTAATGAGGAAGTGACGTAATCAAATGAGTCAATTTTGTTCATCTGGTTTTTGATAGGTTATCTTCAATTTTCGTGAAGCAAGGTCAGAGCTATGAACGGCCTCACGGGAATTTCTCTATTTATGGTAGATTTAGAGATACCTTAGGGACAATGGGATCTATTGTTCTTGTCTATTGAGTGTCTATTGAGAGAAATAAATAGTTTCTCGAACAAGTTTTATTTGAACCAGAAAAATTACTTAATTTAGTGCAAAATTTGAAAATTTCAGGAAGAAATGTCGTTTCTAGTATTACTTCTTCATTATTCGATACTTCCATACGCATTTTGCTCCCGAAAAATATTCGTTTTAAGTTAAACAAGGGATAATAGTTTTTCGTTGCGGCTATTCAATAATCACAGACAAGTAATTAATCCTTTAACGAAATAATAATGAAGATATGATAGCAATCTTGTAACTTGAGGACAAAATATTCCTTGATAAACTGCTCGGTATAAGAGATCTTTTCATTCTAGAAAGACACTGTCTCGTGTGAATGATTCGCCTTTTGAGCCAAATTTTTCTTTTAAATTCGAATTATTCAATCAATTTTTTTTTGTAATTTTTAACTGCCAATTGTTTTGGCCAAAGCAAAAAGTGTTTGAGAACCTATTCGCTTTTCGCTCAGTGTACTACAGTCATCAGAAGCCAGACTCGAAATAATGTAGACTGATTTATTCAGAAACAACATCGTTGTGCCAGTTTGCAATGAATATCTTTGAATCCGGAGGAGATAGCGGAATTTTCGAAGAAACCTTTTTATCGTCCCGACTCTGCTCTCATCTCGTAACTATTCGATATCTCTTTTAGATTCCTAGTCATTCCAGATATTTAATCAAAACTCAGAATTGAGTGAAATTTTTGATTTTTTAGCAAATTCCCGGTGACAGGTTTTATTGAATATATTCCGATCTGGAAACTTGGCGAAATTTTCGAGAGGACATTTCTCTGTAGCTTTTATCTCGCTCTAGAGATATTCCCCAAGATCTAACCGAAGTTAAGTTGAGTTTACTCATTTTCGTATTTTAGAAGAGAATGGGGCAAAATGGTCAATTTTGACTTTTTTTATGATATTCGTACGTCAATAACAAATTCATTAATTAAACTCAGTCTAGACTCAGTTCGAAGGGGAAGAAGAATTGCACTTTAAAAAAAATATAACTCATCCCATTTCGCTACTCCCCTCACATTTCTAAATATTTCAGATATTTAATCAAAACTCAGTGAAACGAACTGAGTGAAACGAATAATTATAAAGCTATATAGTAGAAAAAGTTTGAAATGAATAGATCCCAATCTAGAAGGCCGTCGAAATGTTTTGAGAGGACATTTTTATTGGTCTTTATTTGGCTGTACAAAAACTCTTCATTAAAATTTCGCAACGTTCCTTCAGTATCGAGATATTATCCAACATCTGATCTCAGAGTTGAATTAACTTTTCATGTTTTGGGGGGGAGTGGGGCAGAATGGACACTTTTTATAATATTTAAAAATCAAAACCAAATTCATCATTTTCTATTCTCAATCTATATCTTGTTGTTTTGTTTTTCTTTTCCCACAAAATTTCCTATGAAAAATGCTGTGATTGTATGGAAACATATGTAAAGAGCCGGATAATCGGCTATATATGGATAAATAAATATATAAATATATATAAAACCAAATTCATCAGTTGAACTCACTCTAAACCCATTAAAAAGAGGAAGAAGAATTGAGATTTCTTTAAAATATAACTCATCCCATTTCGCTACTCCCCTCAGATTTCTAAATATTCCAGATATTTAATCAAAATTCAAAACTAAGTGAAACGATTAATTATTCAGTCAGATCGTAATAACAGTTTTGGATGAATATTTTCCAATCTAGAACGTTGGCAAAATTTTTGAGAGGACATTTTTCTTAGTCTTTATTTGGCTGTACAAAAATTCTTCATTAAAATTTCGCAATGTCCCTGCAGCATCGACATATTTTCCAACATCTGATGTCGAAGTTGACCGGTTCTATCTCATTTTCATATTTTATTGAGAGAGTGGGGCCGAAAGAACACTTTTAACTTCTTTGATAATGTTCATAACTCAAAAACATCTCTACCACTTCCTTTCTTCAGATCAAAATACCCAAAAATCCTCAAAAAACTGCACACATTCTTCGTAAATAGTAGAATAAATATCTGAAAACCTAATGACTCTGAACACTAACCGAGAAAACAAAATAAGAATATTAAGATTAAGAGAATAAATAACACAGAATAAATCCTGGTGATTCACTCACTTTAAACAATAAAACTAAAGAATAAAAAACTCCAAACAAATTTATGAATTGAGCTCAGTCCATCCTAACTCCGAAGATAAAGAATCGTCTTTTCTACTCAAAAGAATCACCCCATTGAATTGAAACCTGAGTGCGTCATGCCACGAAAAAGCCAAAAGACCTGCTGCATAAATTTCTTAGAAACCCTTGAAGAGGTCTTAATCACTGCTAAAACATGATAATTACCTTAATCATCCCCTCCTCCCCAGCACTGGCGATCCACTGTCCATCAGGACTGAACTTCAAGCAGTTGACAGTCTCGTTGTGCCCCTTGTACGTAAAAATACAGCCCTTCCTCCTAATATCCCAGAGTTTAATCCCAGTATCGAGGCTCCCAGAGGTCAACAGCTCTCCATAGGGATGAAAATCGACACACCTGATGCCAGCCTTGTGCCCAGTGAGTGTCCTAGCCAACTTGGCATGCTCCAAGTCCCAAATCTTGAGTGCACCAGTCTGAGATCCAGCGCAAACAAGATCCTCAGTCTGGCTGAACCTCACACACTCGATTGGTGTCGTATGGCCACTGAGACTCATGATACATTTTTCTTTTCCAACAGCCCATAGATTAACCTTCTTGTCATCACCACCAGTCACCATAACACGTCCTGACTTGTGACCCAGGGCCAGGCAGTTGACATTAGACGTGTGAGCAGCAAGTTCCTCTGAAAATTTCCCAAAACAGTCGATCAATTAAAAATAAATAATCTGTAAACTGTTTAGCTCTGTTATTTGGCTTTAAAAAGGACTCTATTGACTTACGGAGCTTCCAGGATCTCTTCGTAGACGAAGCCATGATCTCAATCCTGCTGTGAAGCACAAAATTTATCCGCACAATTCGAAAATTCAAATATTTAAATTTTTGAAATCGAACTAAACTCCATTTCCCTCGATGAATTTGCACTCAACATCTTCCACACCTGATTTATCCTCACTCCTTCGGTGTTTAGAATATCTATTAGTGACGTAGAATAACCGTGAAAAGTGGAGTCATGGCACACACGAGGACGAGTCCTTCACGTACGGTTTTTAGCGATTGATGAAAAAAAAACTCGTTACCACTTCTTCTCGGTAAAACTTCTCTCCCCCATTTACTCAGTTGCATCTCATTTTTTTTCTTATTATTATTGAATCTTCACGTCCTATGTCCATCTGTGGGTAGCGACCGAAGTCGTGTGCAAGTTGGTGTGACGTTGAGGGAAAAATATCGCAGTTTTTAACCTCAACAATCGATTCAGGTTAGGTGGCGCTGTTCACGACAATGAAAAAAAAGAGTGAGAAAATGAGTTGAAAAAAAACATTTGTTCGAATGTCGGGTGACGCAAAATCACCTCTTACCGAATAAAGACTGAATTTGTCGTCATATAAACAACGATTAACAGATCTTAATTGGAATTACGGACGTCCCGTTAAGGATAAACTACGCAGGGGAATTTGCAACTGCGGTTTAGTTCGTCGCTTGAGGATTTTTTCGAAATAAAACACTGATTTGATCAAAATCAGCTGATGGGAGGCTGAACTGTTGAACTTTCAGTTTTGTCGGTAGGCGGTGAAATAGGCGCGGGTGGCTTTGATCACATATAATGTTTCGTAATTTTTCGCGTTTTCGAGGTTTCGGAGTCAGGAATTATGTCAGTTATGTTCAGGGACAGTCGCCGAAGCACGGGATTCGAGAGTATTTTTATTATGTTGATCATCAGGGAATGGTACATTCATTTTTTCTATTTGTTTCATGTCGCGACCATAATTTTTGCTTCCAAATGGAAGCTTTGGAATGGCTCAAATTTAAGTTCTCGATTTTTTGTGCTAGATCGACTCGTTACGCTCCAAAAAGTCCGATAATACCATTTTTGGACGAATAGCATTTAAAGGAAATCATATGTACAAATATTTTTCAACTGCGAACGAGTTAGTACATTACTCAAAAACATTTCAGTAGCGAAGCGGTAAACCGGGTCAAGTCGATTTTAACTATTGGCCAGTTTTTGACGAATATCTCGGAATCTAAAAGAGATACAAAAATTTCTCTCATGACCTTTCTTATAACCCCCAGTTGACTCTACAAAAAAGGTGATGAGCAAAATTGCGCTATCTCTCTTAGATTCCGAGATATTCATCAAAAAGTGGCCAAAAGTCAAAATCGACTTGACCCGGTTTACCGATTCGCTACTGATTTATACACCTGTAGATTCGCCTAAGACAAATCTTCTGCTGTCGAATCTTTCGCTAGTTTCCACTTCATACTCTCCCTCTCTATTTTCATTAGTCACGACCAATCGCCCCGTTCAATTAGTACTATTTAAATCGAGAAAATTTTAATTATTTTTACCTCTTTGCACTTTCAGCTATTCCTCGATGATGCTAGGATGAAAAACTTTACATCCTGTTTCAAAGGTACCTATTGTCACGCATAAAAAGTAGTTGCTTGGTGCATCAATTAACCAGTTGTCAATCAGAAGAAATACCGGTCGAGCAAAACGACGAGAAAAAAAACACTCATTTACATCATTCTAAAACGAACTTTACACTGCACATTCATTTTTCCTCCTGGACTTCACTCATCCAACGTGTGTTTGGAAATAACTCGTTGAATTATCATATTACGAGGCGTATGTTCCATACGATTTTCATTGATTAATTCCAGAGAAAAAGTTCCTGGCATTTTTCTTCAGACGACTGAAGCGAAACGATACCGATCGATATACTGAGGACTTTCCATACCTGTCGCTGTGTGGAAGGGAAAGGAATTTCGTACGCTGCGATGATTTGCCCATAGTCTTCACCCACGTGTTACAGAGTCCAGAACACCTGGATTTATTTAGCTATGCTCATGCTGGCGATTTACTTGTCGTAAGTGTCTTATCGAAAAATTGCAAAATCCCTTTCGAAAGTAAAAAAATACATTTTTCAATTCCGCAATGACTTTTCTTCCTATTCCCGAGCCATTAATTCCACATATTTTTCAGTGTTTATTCTTATTGAATGTTTTGGTATGTGAGTAAGCTGTGACTCCACTCCAATCATTCAGAAGTCTTCAGTTCAATGGTGAAGTGATAAAACTGGATGAGTCAATTAATCAGTTTTTTATTCTTTGCTCGATATCTGAGGATTGAAGAGAGAGTGAAGTATTTTTGTAACTCGTATTCTACTTTTGAATGAAGATCCTTGTGGACACACGGAAAAATTCAATAGGAAAACCTATCGAATTCGTTAGAAAATTCTATTGAATTTCTATTAAACTTTCTATTAGTTTTTGGCTGATTCTATTGACATGTTCAGTAGAAAACGTTCAATAGAAAAAGTCAACAGAATTCTATTTTTCTATATAACTTATTCTTTTCATATATTTTCTATAGAATTTGCTCGACTCGAATTTTTTAAGTTTTTTTCATTCTATTTTTCTTTTCTTCTCATCAGGAAAATCAAACGAAAAAACTTTGAGCCGTGGAAATTCTATAGAAAATATCTCAATAGAATAAGTTATATAGAAAAATTGAATTCTATTGAATTTTTCTACTGAATATTTCAATAGAATCGGCCAAAAACTAATAGAACAGTCCAATAGAAATTCAATAGAATTTTCTAACGAATTCGATAGGTTTTTCTATTAAATTTTTTCGTCCGTATAANCCATTCCCCTGTCTCTTTTAGATTCAGAGACATTGAGGAAAATATGAGGTGATTTGAAAATATCCAAGTCACAATTTGCTCTATTACAGCAACATATGATAATTTGTGGATAACAAAATTTTCATCAATTTTTTGAAAAAAAAATGAAACAGAATCTTTCTAAGTCAGAAAATATTCATGTAACATAAAACAAATAATAATTTAAAAAGTTATGGAGAAAATGCAATCGCCATATGTGAAAACTTCGAGTCTGCCTTGTTTCAGAATTTTCTTTGCATTCACATTCCGCTATAATATTGTTATATTTATTAAAGTAATCACTCGAGAGAAATCGTAGAGACGTATTTTTCAGTTCTTCAGAATCGAAGATAAAAAAAAGAGTAAATCCGTCCTGAAGAAATCTCTCAACATTAGAATCACAATCATCAGTCTTTTATTTTACAAAAGAGGGGAAGAGGATAAATTAAACCATTCGATTTCGTAACAATATTCTTGAAAAAATCCAAGGCGAAATGTCCTGCTTTTGATTTTTAATACCTTAAGGATATCCAAGTATCTTTTAATTTGGTACAGACCACCCTATAGATTCAACCATTTTCAATGATCAAATTAGTCAATTAAATTGCGTGAGAAAAATTTCAAAAAAATAATGAACATTCAAATGATATTTTGCACAGGATTATCATTTTTTTAAACATTCATTATTTATAAATTAAGACTTTAAATTGTGTAAACTTTTGGAAACTTTATTTTCTTTAGGCATGAAATCAATTTTTGGTAAAATTCTGAATATGAATAAATTTGTTACGATTCAGAACAAATGATTTGTCCGGTGGAAAATTGATTTATAAATTATTTATAAAAAATGCTTGTAATTGTCAAAAATTGCATGTTTAAATTATGTCATAAAGCTTCCTCCAAAAGTAAATTTTCATTTTTTTGTCAGATTTTTAAAATGTTTTCTAACGGTTCAATATCGAGATTCAAATTCAGACCTGCAAAAATTTTAAATAATATAAAATCATTGTGAAATGTCCGGAAACTTAGGGTCAAACGGGGCGCAAATTAAAGCTCTTATGTTTGACTACAAAATTAGAAAAGCATTTCATTCGAGAAAAATTTCCAAAATACTTGAATATTCGTAAAGTCCGCAGAGTAAAATTCCACGAATTTCGTGACAATGTCAGTCTTTTTTTTCTAATTTTTTAGAGACTAAATTCCTCAGACTCGTATGGTTCATTCACCCAATGTTTCATCTCAAAAAAATTAGTGATCATCTCTTCAATTGAGTATTCCTGTCTTTCAGGTACCTTTCCAACCGGATAAGATCTTTATGAGCACAAATTCCGGTCGAGTTTATCACCCAGCTCCAGAGGCAACAGGTGGTATTGGCCTAGTTCGCTCCAAACTTGCCATTGAATTCAGCAGCTCTTTCGAATTCCTAAAGGGAGAAGAAAGTGATCCAACGCACTTCACGTGGAAGGGAACACGATACACCCTGGATACCGCATGGTATCGGGATAAAATATCAAGAGGAGAACGCACGTCGCAGCTTTAATAAAAACAAATAGATTTTAATTGTATATAGTCAATGGGGGATACAATATATTCTTTGATATATTTTTGTAACAGAATGTTGTTTTTTGAATTTGAGCTATTGAGACCTTCACGATCGTCCAAGTTAATATTCGGAGATATCAAATATCCGTGCAGTTGAGTCATCTGAAGTCGTCAAAATTCTGCATCCATCCCTGGAACAAAAAAACAAGTTTTAGTTTTTTTCGAATGAGTTTCGACATGGAATTTTCTGAATAAAAAGATGATGAATTGTATACGTCGGGTAAAATCTATTTTTTTTTGAGAATTTTTTTGAGTTCAATAAAACAATAAAATTCGCTAATGAAAGTGGGCGATGATCAAATATATCTCAAGGGAAATGACAGAAACTTGAAAATTGTAAAGAAAAAATTTACATCAAAAACCCTCATTACCCTTATTCTGACCTTCATGACCCTTATTTTGACCTCTGTGACCCTTAATTTGACCCTCGGGACCGTCATTCTGACCTTTGTGGCCCTTAATTTGACCCTTACGACCCTTATTCTGACCCTCGTGACCCTCAATTTTGAGTACCAAATTTTTACCACCAAAAGTCGATTTGGATTTTTATAATATAGAGAGACATATATTCCCGATGAATCGTTTGACGTTTTCTCTAACCTCTTTCTCAAACCTCCGTTTTCAACTTTGTTTGGTCGAATTTCTCTAAAAATATTCACTAGAAGGGACGAAAAATAGCATGTGCGCCTCTGGAGGTCAAAAGCCCATCCTGACCCGCGTGTTATTTTTGTCCGAGGCGAAGCCGACGGCCTCCTTTCTTCCCTCGGTACACAACGTACTATTTTACTGAGGATCAATTGAGCTACAAGATCTTCCAATATTTTCCGGCAAAATTAATCGTTCACGAGATGAATACCCAATTAAAAAATATAAACCTTGATGTAGAGGGTAAAATGGATACGTTTGACTTTCTTTAATGTTAATGATGGGTTGAAATGTTGATGAAATAGAATAATTTTGTTTTTCAATGCAAAGAACAATTCAGTAGCGAAACGGTAAACCGAGTTAAGTCGATTTTGACCGTTGAGCAATTTTTACGAATATCTCGGAATCGAAAAGAGATAGAATAATTTTTGTCATGACCTTTTTTGTAGAGCCAATTGAGGATTACAAAAAAGGTCATGAGAACAAATTTGCTATCTCTCTTAGATTCCGAGATATCCACCAAAAATTCCGCCAAAAGTTAAAATCGACTTAAATCGGTTTACCGCTTCGCTATTAAATTCTTTCTCTTCGGGATGAGCCTAAACTGAGCTCAATTGATAAATTTGTTTCTGAGTTATGAATAATTTTTAAAAAAGTCTTGAGTGTTCATTTTACCCCACCCTCCCCTAACATGTTTTAGCCTTTTTTAACTCAATAATTTTCCACACTGAACAGCTGAAAAATAAATACTAACCCAGAGATGAAAACATCTAGAATATCCTGGCCATGGCCACTAAAAGACTTCACAAGCTGAGCAGTTCTGGCGTCGTAGCACCTCAGAACTCCATCCAATCCAGCAGAAAAAAGAATGGGGCTCGTTCCTTTCCACACGAGTTTGCTGACTCCACCCTCTTGCGTGATCTTGTGCCTAACCATCTGCTTTGAGACATCCCAAATAAATATTTCTCCACTCAAAGTTCCGGTTGCAGCGAAATGGAGCTCAGGATCCCTGCAGAACGCCACAGCTTCGATCCAATCCTCCGTTTTTGATACTTCACTCGTGCCCTCTTCCGCACTGGCTTGTTTGTTCTCCTGGAGATGTTGGAGGACTCCGACTACTTTTCCAGTGGCTACTGTACTGAGAACGGTTTTCCCATCGGTGGCAGCAGATACTATCAATTTACTGTCGAACTGACAGTCTAGGTCGGTGATGGGAGCTGAGTGGGCAATATTAGGGAGGATTGTTGTGTGAATTGTGCCTTCTTTTAGGTCCATCACTCTGATGGCACCGTCTTCGTATCCTGCGACGAGTCTCTGGCCTGATAGAAACAAATGTTAGATGTTTAGGAAAACTAATGCATTTTTTGCTTCCGAATGGAAGCCTTGTAATCGATGATTTTTACGATCTCGTAATTTTGCTTGGAAATGATGTAGAATGTCATGAAACGTGAAAATATGATGTTTTTAGAAAATGTATGTATGTATGTCAGAATCTGTATGCCGATTTTTTGAAAATTTGTTATGAATCCCCCCGAAAAAAAGGACTAAAATTTGAGCTAACAATCTGAAATTTTGTCGGATAATTGGTATTACTTTGGAGCATTTTCGTCTCTATATGACTTAAAAATTCATAACAACAATTTATAGTATTTTGTATTTGATGAAATGTCATAGCTATGACAGAGGTAGAAGTTAAAATTTGGTAAAATTGCAGCTCTTATGACATTACAGGATTAAATTGTATAGCTCTGACTGAATCAGAGGTCGGTGTGGTTTATTACCAATATGAATAGCTTTTTGAGTAGTTACCATCTGCGAAATTGTACGGATCCATTCGGAAGCTTATTACCAATGGAATAGGTAGAAAAAAAAGTAAATGTCACATGGCTTCTGCCAAAAAGGCTTACAACCCTGCTTGTTTCATATCGGAATCGACAATTTAGGAGATAAAGGCTAGAAGAGTCTAGAATATTCTGAAATATTGTCGGAGCACCTAGAGAGTGCATCAATGATGAAAAGGTCTCGTAGGTAAGCTCTCAAATCAATTGAGAAGTTTTTATAAATTTTTACGGTAATTTTACAATAAGCGTTTCCTTTTTTTATTTAGCGTTAGCTTCTGAGTTAATTAAGTCAAGCTCGTTTTTCACGCATTAGAATGGGAAGAAGTTCATTGGATTCCAATTGTTTAATCGGGAGACATTTCAAATTCGAATAGGTTTATGCGGACATTTATGTGGGCATTTTATCAAACAATTGTAATTGTAATTGTGGAAAAAGTCGCGTCACTCACCATCTGCACATACTGCCGCTGTCTCAGTCTTCTGCCCATTGCCTTGGAATATTTTACACTCGCCAGTGGGGATTCTCCACATGTATATTTCACCTGCTACACTACCAGCGAATAAAACATTCGCTTGTTTATGCCACCTTAACCACTGGAAGAACAGAAACGATTAATTTCATTGAGACCGAATGAGTGGAAATAATTTGCTAAAATACGCTATTGAATCATCTGTAATGAATACATTTCATAAAAGGGTTATGGATTCGAAATCATTTTTAATTGAAGAAAACAAAACAAAAACCAAAATTAAAATATAACCAACCGAAAAAATATATAAACAAATTTTTGGTGCAGAGTAAATATTCTGAAGTTGTAAAACATAATAAATAAAACTATAAACACGTAATAAATCTCATAGCCCGTTGATTGTTGAATCATCTTCCTTCATGTTCCTAATAAGGAATTCAGGAGAAAATGATAGAAGACAGTATAAGTTGAAAATTTATCACGCTGGAGAAATTGTTTAATAGTTTTTTCTTTCCGCCCCCTCTCCTCAAAATATCATTCCCAAAACAGTAAAATAAGAAACGAAAAATTTGAATTGAAGTATTTCTGCCACTTCACACTATAAATAGAATAATGAAATTTTAGAAGATCGACAATTTGACTTGAAGGGAAGAAAAATCATGGAATTTCAAATTTTACTATAAATCCATGGGATCCCAAATTTTTTTAGCAGATTTACTTTAATTATCGATCTAAACATGAATTTTCAATTGACTATCCAAGATTTCTTTCAATTTTCGTAAAATAACGGAACTGAATTTGATTTTTTCCATTCATTTTTTCATTAAATTGTCGATTATTCAATGACAAAATTCCTTCAAATTTTTGGAAAGCTGAGATGGCTAAGAATTTCCAAGAAATGTATCGGAAATTTCAGCCAAAAAGTTATAACATTGCCCAATAGGAATATTGAAATTAAAAAATTACAAAAATATTGAAATTCAGAAATTTTCTCCACAGTGTTCTGGTAGTTTTATATTTACTATCTACTCGATTGAATGAATTTTTACAGGAATATTGACAGAATGCTTACAGCTGCATCACCAATTTCAAAATCCCACGCGACAGTTTTATCACTCATCCTCCAAACTTGAATAACTCCACTCATGTCTCCAGTGGCTAAATAAGTGTCGTCTTTATTGAACTCTGCGAAAATTATGCTGTCTTTGTGCCCCGTGCATTCGTGGATCACCTCCCCAGAGGTTGTGTCCCAGACGTAGGCCATGTCGTCTTCTCCACCTGTGGCTGCCAATTTTCCATCTCTAGTCAAGGATCCGCAGAATACAGATTCTTAAAAACGAAATAAATCATTAATAAAGTAAAGTCTGGATTACCTCTCTCTCTTTTTACTAAGTGGTAAAAAATGGGGATGTCCACGTGAAAAGGGTTCACTTTCTCGATATAGAGTTTTTTTTACTATATTTTGTTTTGTTTTACAGGTTCCGAGCAGAAAAAAACAAGTTTTTCTATTGAATTTTTCCATACGTTAGGGAATGCTGAAGGAATTTCGTAACGAGTCCTAAATAAAAATGCTGAATTAAAAGGAACAAAACTGTTGACATTCTCTTCATGATAAAATAAAATACCAAAAATCTAACGAAACTTCTAACATGATTTTTGTAAACGCTCAATAGAATTCCAGTGAAGATTTAATAGAATTTTCCATTAATACGCTGTTTTCCGTTAAATTTTGTTATATGTGCATGCTTTCATTCCGAACTACAAAATGGTCCACAGAAAAATGTTCCCATCTCTTTTAAACTCAAAAATATTTATCGAGAACTCGTCTTGAAGATGACTTGACTCATCTCGTTGCAGCACCTCATTAATAATTTCAAGATTTCTCCAAATGAAAAAAAATATATCAGGGGTCAATTCCACAGATTAACTAAAGATTAACTAAGTGTATGAAATTAACCAAGGGATAGAGATATTGTTTTCGTGTAAGTAACACTAAGTGCAATATTAGTTTAGAAGTTTACTTTGATGATTGTTGAAAACAGCGATGGAATCGTCCACTTCCGGATCTTCGTCTTCCATGGGCTCCCCATTCTCCAGTTCGTCAATCACTTCATCCACGTCCCCCACGTAGACCATGTCCTCCTCGTCGAGCTCTTCTTCAAGACCCGGGGACATCGGAGGAGTGTCTGTGTTGTGCATCTGCAACAATTGACAGGTTAATTAGTTCCAAGAACGTTCAGCTCCACTCGTTTCGGAGCAGAGTCTCTTTCACTCAAGTTTTCAATATCCACAGTACGTAGAACAACGATGCAGTGGTTATTATTGGGTTTGAATTTGATGGAAATACCTTCATATGGACGTAAATAAATATTTGAAAACACTGGATTTTTGGAGTAAGGAGCAACCACCACGTGAGAATGAGCTCAGTTGATTAGGCGTTTTTACGGGTTTACAACGCCACCTCGATCGGCTGAGGTGTTCCATCGATAAAACAGGACACCCCTGGATTTCAATTTTGATGAAAGAATAGGGAAGACTTGTTTTAAATTTCTTAATTAATTAATTTGTACTATTTTATTATTAATTGATTAATTTATATTATTTCATTTCATTTTCTTTCCATTTCCGTCTTTACAATTACACTAATCTAATTTCATTCATTCTTATTCTTATTATATACCTATATTTTTTTCCTTAATTCACAAGGTACAACATTGAATGAAGAGGAATTATGTTAAAGATCAATCAAGTCTTTTTTGTGATTAAAACAAACACAAAACAAAAGTCATTCGAAATCTCATTCGAGTAATAGAAATACCTAGCAAATTCGTTAAAAAATTCTATTGAATTTCTATTGAACTGTTTTATTAATTTTTGGCCGATTCTATTGAAATGTTCAATAGAAAATATTCAGTAGAAAAAGTCAACAGAATTCAATTTTTCTATATAACTTATGCTATTGAGATATTTTCTATAGAATTTCCTCGTCTCAAATTTTCTAAGTTTTTTCGTTTGATTTTCTTGATGAGAAGAAAAGGAAAATGGAATGAAAAAAAAATTAGAAAATTTGGGTCGAGCAAATTCTATAGAAAATATATGAAAAGAATAAGTTATATAGAAAAATCTAATTCTGTTGACTTTTTCTATAGAATGTTTTCTATTGAACACGTCAATAGAATCAGCCAAAAACTAATAGAAAGTTAATGGAAATTCAATAGAATTTCTAACGAATTCGATAGGTTTTTCTATTAAATTTTTTCGTGCGTATTATTATGAAAATGAAATGAAAAAGGAATCAGAAAAGGATAATCGGCTAGAAAAAAGTTTTTTTTTCTTTTTTCTTCAAATATTAGAGGAATACCAATCGAAATTAAAGAATGTGAAAATTAAAGGATTACAATGCTTCCATTTGGAAGCAAAAACAGAAAATTTGAGCCGAGGGAATTCTATAGAAAATATTTTAATAGAATAAGTTTTATAGAAAAATATAGAATTCTGATTTTTTCTCTAGCATATTTTCTATTGAATATTCCAATAGAATCAGCCAAAAACTAATAGAAAATTCGATAGAAATTCAATGGAATTGTCCTACATTTCGTACAGTAAATTTGTCACGATTTTGTAGGTAATTTTGTTCCAGCTTTTCTCTCCGCGTTGCGATATTAAAATATTAAGAAAAAATCTAATAATTGATGATCACTGCAGATGTCGAAATCTCTCGGTTTATTATTCAGATAATATCATTTTTATGTTCCCTCATTTAATAATCCGACCGCGATGACGCTATCATAATAAAGAAAGGTCAGAGGCGAACCTTTACAAAACTATGATTGAACTACGTGAATATGTGGAGGTATATTTTTCGAACCAACAGAATGTGAAGTGTTTATTACCAAAGAAAAAAACGATCGAGGGTGTCACTTGATTAACAATGGATAGAGTTAATCGCAAGTGGTACAAGGACATCAGAACTCACTGAGATCACTTACGTACATGGGAAGGATGCTGAGGCTCTTCCAGTAATCACTCGCACATTTATCGTTGACATAAAAGTAATGGGTTCGGAGCAAGTGGAAATACTAATGCTTGACAATAAGAGAAAGCTGAAGTGAACCAGTTCGAATCTTCAAGGTGTGCCGATGTTACAATAGGATGAAACTTTGCTACACTTTTCTCCGAAATTACAAGGAGAAAAACAATTTCACGAAATTCAGAATGTAGTTTCATGTTTAAGAACAACCGACCATTGAAGTAGAGAAACACGTTTTGTAGAATCTGACGATTTTCACATTGAAGATTGCGATGAAAGTGACAACTGTAATTTATTTGCAGTATGGAATGTTTGATAATTTTTTAAAATCTGCAATACAGTGTTTGAAAATGACTACTGAATTTAGAGTTAAAAATATTGAAATATTTTACGGCTACTATCGTCAAGTTTTTCAGGAAACTCGTGCTTCGCACTTGTGATTTTTTACGCTGAAATACTTGTTTCCTTCGTTTGTTTGCAACGAATCTATCGGAAATTCCGTGACAATTCTGAAGCTCTTGTGGTATTATCCACGAGAATTCCCCAGAATTTTGATAGAATGCCAACAGAATTTCTAGAGAATTCCAATAGAATTTTTTAGCGAATGCGTAAGGTTTTTCTATTGAATTTTTTTATACGTGGTGGGAATATTTGATGGGGTGGACCAGATTCACTTGACGGAAATTAACCAACTTGATAGGAGAACTTTGAATTTCATAAATTTTAGTCTACTATAGAGACGCAAAAAATTTATGAAATTCAAAATTCGGTTATTGATGATCTATTGCGAATAAAGTAAAGCGGATGATTAACTTTATACTTCCGCGTGTAACGAACATTTAAAAAAAGCTAAAATGTATGAAAACTAAGGCGGAAGGAGTATTTTAAATGTAAAAACAAGAAAAGATGAAATTTTTCCTGATAAAATATTGAATGGACCCCAAGGCCCACTGAAGACTTTTAAATTTCACCGACGTATCCGTTTAAGGGATCATTCTGGTTTAGACACTTAAAAAAAAGGACAATTAAATAAATTTATTTAGGCTTTTATTTATAGAAATAGTAATAATTTATTAAATAAGTCCAGTAAATATTAATACGCGCAACTCAAAGAAAACAATGTAATCGCTCAGATAGCCAGTATGCAAATGAGATAGATCGATAGGCCACGAGGTGGCTGGTAGAAAAATCCAGAGGTGTGAACGTGACCCAATTAAAATGGGGACGTTCACATGACACCTGTCCATCAAGTGGCGCCTGAGGTGCCAAAGATCAAAAGTCATCGGTCACCTGAGGCGAGAGAGCAGATCAGCTGTGAGTAGGCCATGCGTGCATGCGAGGGGACGAGCATTAATCCAGTATGCTCCAAACTCGAACACAGAAATTGAAAATAAAATATGGAGATACAACAAAGCAATTGCCAATTTGGAAGACTACAACAAACACAGAGAAAACAAAAAAAAATACTGGTGGTTACAAAACCAATAAAGATATTGGGAGGAAATAATTTATCCCTTGTAAATAATGTATATATGTAAATAAATCGACTGTTTAATTATTAAGTTTAGGATAGGGTGCCCACAAGCACAAAATAGATTTAGAGTAGTTTTTAGTAGTTTTTGAAGCCTTTCCCCTCCAGAAACATGAATAGCAACATATTGATTATGGTATACACTAATAAATAAGAATAATAGCATCACCAGTCATACCGATAGAGATCACAGCAAAGCACGTCGTTGAACGACTTTTTCGTATAAATTCGCTCTAGATAAGTAATCTTTTGTTTATTGGAGAAATGTTAAATCCACCAGTGTTCTTGTATTTGACGACTATGACACTAAACACCTTAAAAAAAAGAGGGGACGAGCATTAAAATAGAAATAACGAACTATTATGGAAAATTTTTCTAGGATGTTACTTACCTCTATAAAAATGGCTTTACATAAAATTCTTTACCTTTCTTATATATCAACGCGTAAAATGTGTAAAATGCAATTAATTTCAACTGTCCGACTTCGATGCTGAATTCTTCTCGTATGACGGAGATTTGACGAAATGGAAAGTTGTTCGCGAAGTCATTGAGAAAACAGGAAAATTTTACATAATATTTCAAAGAAAGAGGACAATGTTGTGCCCCTCCACTTCCCAAAATACGACAAAAATGCATTTCACAAAATCTAAAATGAGTTCTTTTTCTTTTGTCATAAATCTGGGATTGGATGTCCTTATTTCCTTAATGACGCGACCTTCATAACTGAAATTCCCAGACTCCAAAAATTGGGCTCCGAAAACCACAATATTCTCTATTTCTCTGTTCCTGCTGCGACGACGCCGTCCTCATATATTCCCTGGACAAAGCATTAGAAAGAACGTACAATGTTTCATGGCTAAAAGATTCTCTCCTCAAAGACGGAAACTGATGAAGATAAGCTAAATAATGGTGTAAAGAAGTAAAACAGTTATATCCACTCCCACAATATATTTTGCTCACCGATTATAGTTACGCAATAAATCCCACGCGTTTGAGAATGATAGTTGGCTAATCTTTACCAGCAATCTGAATGTATACAAACGTGACAACAATTTTCCCTGGCGCTTCATTCACTCGAAATGCCGTTTACCGTATAAGCCCTCAAGTCTGAATTATTCCATCAATGGAATACTCCATAGCCCACGTTCCTGCGAAATGTATCCCAAGCATTTGCTATTCTCCCAATTTTTTTTCCACTCCACTCGTATGAACAAGTTGAAGAACAATTCCTCCCACGTAACGCCCGCACGATAACGTCACTTATTCCTTTCGACATTAGCCGGGAAATTGTTTCCTTTTTATTTGGAATGACGCTGAATTCTAACGTATGTAATTCCTCAGGAGTTTTTACGAGTTATTGCATAAGCGCAAGAAACCATCGCCACTTGTTGGATGAGACATTTATCAAATAATAAAGTACACTGCATATTTACGCTGGAAATATACTGAACTATCACTGAAGAACAGTTTAAAGCGTTAATTGATGGAAATTTATTAGTGAAATAATGTAAAATTATTACTCTTGTAGCAGAAAATTTATGAATAAAATCGGAGAAACATACTCATTAATACATCATTACCTTTATACATTTAATTCTTAATGTAGTCTTTTCTTAATAGCTGGTCTTCCCTATGAAATCATCGGAATTATTTTGTAATTGTAATTGTCCACAATTTTGTCATTCTTTTAGCGGCGATCAATTCAACTTAGCAGCCACGTTATATTAAGGTGTTTCGTGTGAAAAGTCAAAATAATGAAACAAAATTGGAAAATTCATGGGAGAAATGTCTGAGTATACTGCATCATTGCGAATTTTTGCACATTTTTTTCAGATCTCAGTCTCAAGAAAAAAAATTATGAAATTTGGATGTTTTTGTAACCTCCAACTATAACCTCCGAGGTTACCCCACTCATAGTTGGGAAAATTTCCATGGCACTCAAAAAAATAATGAACTATTGAGGAAAAACTAGTGGGTGATAAATCAAATCTTTCTTGAGAACACGTATAAGTTTCAGATTTTTTTCAGATTTCATAAGAAAGTTATTTGAACAAATGATTCGGAAAATTATGAGTTTCGGGGCAATTACGCCTTCACGCGCAGGCGCGTGATTCGAATGTCAGTGAACATCATGGGAAAGGTATGGGTTGGACCATGGAACTGAGAGAAAGAAAACACTCGACAGGTTTACCAACTCGAGACGCATTTTAATATTATTTCAATAATTAGAGAAACATCTAATAAAAAATATTTGACAACCGCAGGTGATGAGAAAAAATCAATCAATCTGATAAATAAAATTAATACTCAAAAAATGTTCAAATGCAGACTTAAAGAGTTACTTGAAAATTGGAAAATTTCGGACTCAGGGGTTGAATCAGGGCTCGAGAGCAATAAGACTCCCTTTCCGTTTGACCCCCCGGTGATCTACACACGAAACACCTTAAACCGGCATAATTTCAGGATAAGCTTCCGATGAATATCACTGAATCGAAGGGAGATTTTTTATTAAGAATTTTTATGGCGACTTTCTTTTATAAATCTGATGTCGTTCCGCAAAGATTTCAGCTATCAACGTCCAATTATAGTATATTCAGCGAATATAAAATGTAAGTGGAATGGATATATTTCGTTCCACCACTTGAATTTATTCAGCAGATACTCAATTCATTCAATAATGAAGAGTTCAATAACAGTTTAATAATAGAAAAGTATTGTAACGATCACTTTCCGGAAATGAATATTATTTATTATCTCATGATATTGAAAGAGAATATATATAACAGGTGGATGATGGGGAATGAGGTGCTGATTCTCTTGGAATAAATATGGAAGGGGGAAGCTAAGGATCTCCAAGTACTTTGGCGGTTTTTTCTCCAGTGAAATGCTTTTCTACTCTCATACCTGAACGTCAGGGCTGTCATTTGAGCCCAATTTGACCCTAAGATGAAATTTTTTTAATCCTTCCTATTTTGATTAATTATTTAGTAGTTGAAACTAAAACTTTGATTCTTGGTCACGTATGAAAGAACTTAATAGAAAAGCCTAGCGAATTCGCTAGACAATTCTATTGGGTTTTTATTGAACTTTTCTATAGAATTTCCTCGGCTCAAATTTTCAAAGATTTTTTGTTCAATTTTCTTGATGAAAAGAAAAGAAATTAAATTAAAAAAAGTTGGAAAATTTAAGCCGAGGAAATTCGATAGCAAATATCTCAATAGAATAAGTTGTACAAGAAATTCGAATTCTGTTGACTTATCCTACGAAATATTTTTTATTGAACATTTCAACAGAATCGGCCAAAAATTAATAGAAAGTTCAATAGAAATCCAATAGAGTTGTCTAGCGAATTTGTTAGGTTTTTCTATTAAATTTTTTCGTGCGTGATTTTTGAGGAGGGTAGGGTAAAGCGGACCGCTGGGCAAAACGAACCCCTAGGGCAAAACGGACCACTGACAGAAAATTGTTAATTTTTGTGTTCTTTTCATTTCTTCAAATCAGGAACACTGAATGTGTTGAATTAAAAGTGAGTTTCTTGGATCGTAACCGTCACAGGAGGTATTATAGACAACAATTGTCGTTGAACCGCAATTTGATCAGATTCGCTAATCACTTTAACCCACAAATGACTTTGAATTTTTTACAAAATAATGATAATGGTAATTGTTTTACAAAAATTAACAATTTTCTGACAGTGGTCCGTTTTGCCCTATCCTCCCCTAAATGAATATCGTTACTTTACGTTTTTAAAAGTTTAAAATTACCTTAGAATACGCGAAAATCTTATTAATCTCCTGTATTTCTAGCTCGCGAGAATCTGGTACAACTGAGTTCTAAAATTCAGAGACTTTTTATTAAAACTTGGAACCTTTCCTTCTCCGTATATCGAAAGAATTCTTCATAAAATTAAAGTCCTTATTCGTCACCACTGCAACCAGCTTCGGCGGCATTCCTCAACTTCCCTCCCATCATGAAGACATTTCCTCAATCCCTCAGAGAGAACTTCAAGCAAAATTTTGCAAGTGCCCATAAAATGACAGGGACTCCCATTTAATTACCCTTTCAGGGTATTTATACCGCACTCACAATTAAATCCCTCCCGAGAACTTTCTCACTTCATAACAATTCCATGTTTTATAATACATTTTATTATCATAATTATTTCTCCTTGTGGGATGATGATCTGCGGTTGAGAAGAAAGTTCTGAAATGCAAGTCCAATTGAAGGAACGTGAAGCGAATTTTTCTTCCGCAAATGGTCAATACATGTACACTGAGGGCAAAATCGACATATGCACTATCAAAAAAAATGCACTTGTCCTAGTTTACCAATTATAACAGATTACACAGGATTCTTATACGGTCTGACTCATTATGCGGAATTCCTAGGTCCATGTCAAATAAACTTTCGTCAAAAAAACTTTGTCAAAACACCTGGTAACAAGACAAACTTGAAGAAAAAAAAAATTCTAAAACCTAAATTTCAAAAAGCTTGAAGAAAACTTAAACTTTCAACGTATAAATGAAATTGCAAAGGAAAAATTGAAAAAAAGTCCACACTTTTTTGGACCATATTTAGTTACCAGGACACAAAAATTTAAAAATTTAAATTTGAACGATTACAAACTTACTTCCATTCTGAAGCAAAAATGGAAAAACCGAAAGAACCGCAATGCAAAACATCGTATCCAGAATAAACAGCATCGAGTCCTGATTACAAATGATTTGCTACAAATTCATATGTACAAGAAAATAAATGCCACAACTATTCATATCCACAACACAACACTTAAAGCACAACATTCGACCCAATCCCTCTCAAATATTGCAGAGTACCAATATTCTTACAAAACACAAGACAACCGAAAGGTTTCATTGACGGAAGTTTTATTTGACAAAAGTTCAATTAACCAAAAGTTCACTTTTCCAAGTTGAATTCAACCAGGTTTTTTAAAAGAAGTTTTTTTAGAGGTGCTTCAGAATTCTTATTCCAAGCGTTTTATCCTCAAGAGATGAGATATTTAATAGTACAGTTCGTCATTAGGCCGAAAGAGTATATTCCCTACCTAGTGAGGGAAAAAAAAGAAGTCGTGCCCACGTGCAGGATGGTAAGCACGTGGATAAGGGTCATTTATTTAACCTCTCGTGGTCAGAACATTATTTTCCGTCACGGCGTAGGCGCAAAGTCAAATTTTCCTCCCGCGCAGCCCAAATGTGTACTTTGCGCCCGCCGTGGCGGAATAGTATATTTCGGGACGAGTGCCATGGGGTTTTTACTCGCGTGGAGTTGGCGTCCGAAAAAAAACCCATGGCACTAGTCATGAACGATATTTCTCCGTAGTGACTTTCACTTTTTTCAGTTCGGGGAAGGGTCAATACCAACCCCCAGACTGAGAAAAGTGAAGGTCAGTACGGAAAAAAACTTTTCTGGCGAATATGAGTTTGAAACCCGCGGCGACACGGACGAAAAAATTTAATAGAAAAACGTATCGAATTCGTTAGAAAATTCTATTGAATTTCTATTAAACTGTTCTATTAGTTTTTGGCCGATTCTATTAAAATGTTCCATAGAAAATATTCAGTAGAAAAAATCAATAGAATTCAATTTTTCTGTATAACTTATTCTATTGAGATATTTTCTATCAAATTTCCTCCGCTCAAATTTTCTTCTTTTCAAGTTTTTTAGTTTTATTTCCTTGATGAGGAGAAAAGAAAAATAGAATGAAAAAACTTGGAAAATTTGAATCGAGCAAATTCTGTAGAAAATATATGAAAATAATAAATTATATAAAAAAATCGAATTCTGTTGACTTTTTCTATTGAATGTTTTCTGTTAAGCATGTCAATAGAATCAGCCAAAAACTAATAGAATGTTCTAACGAATTCGATAGGTTTTTCTATTACGGGATCGGACGCGCGTGCTACGCACGCGCCTTTTCATCTCCTCGAGATTTTCGAGATATTTCGAGATCGATTTTCTTTCTCCTTTTTACGATAGGAACTTTTTTCGTGCGTGGAAGGCGAGCGGTAGGCGTAAAAAATAGACCAGAAAAAAATAGCTCACACATCCAAAACATGTTAAAACCCATCCAACTTATAAATTTCCCTGCCTTACGGCCGGGATGACAAAAAATAAGTCGTGTGATATGTCGATATTTCTCAGTGGACCCATGTTTACACCGTTGTCTCATGCCTCACGTGATAACGAGAGTTACTGGCTCGCAGGAGTGTCTCGTGACCTCAGCGACTGGTTCAAGGATGCCGGGTGTCAGTGCACGGGGTTACACCGGAGAAGATGCCTTCCTTCCACCAAATAGCCGGTGTATTACGACGAGTTGAGTATAAAATTCTGATGACTCCATGGTTTGATGATAAAATAGCTAAGTGAGAGGTGGGAAAGTCACTGGAGGAAAGGTAAGAGGCAATATACCGGCCAACCCATCCCTCCCCCATGGGTGCGACCAGGCGACCGCCGACTCGAGAAGACACCAGAGATGAGTCTCGTGCCGCTTAGTGCATCGACTGCTCCATTGTGATCTAGTGCTTTGTGTTCCGACAATTTACGCCGGATTAAATAAAAAATTCATCACCTTTCAGTGGGAAGAGGGTTTCCGATATGAAAATATATTTCTCTATCTGTAAGTTGAAAATAATGAGTTCGCACGGAGTTCTGTTGACTCGGAGGGTTTAATAAGGACTCCTATTTTTTCGGTGACTTAGGTGTTCTGTTGAGTGTGGAATGCATCACCGGATTGGATCCGACTTTGGACGGCGATCCGAGACGGACTTTTCCCGCCAGAAGAGCCATAGATGGATCGCGCGGAAGGTAATGACGGTGGAGGTTCTTTCAGGGAGGATACTTTATTTTATGGGAATTGTTGTAGAAAATACTATGTGCCGGAGGAGGAGGATACCTTCGACATTTATGGAGCTAGCGGTCAATATGATCCTTATAGAGATACAACAGGTAATTTTTTTATTTGAAGGAAGAATAAATAAAGGGACTGTTTGAAGAGAAATAAAATTTCATGAGCGATTCATTAGTACTTTTCACCGGCAGATATTGGCATAATTCATTGAAATTTCAGTGGAACCGTCCCGAGATAAAAATTTCAAAAAAAAGTTGCGCAAACAGATTAATGAAAATACTACGCCGCAAAATGTCAAATTTCACTCAAGTTCCAATTTTTTAAACATCAGGAAGACGAGAATTCTCTAATTTATATGGATTTTCAATCAAAACATTTACATTCAGTGCCGAATTACGCACGATTTTCAATTTCAATTGAGTAAAAATTCAAAAACATTTCGAATTTTGCTGATTTGATGTGATGAAGTGAAATATTTATTTCGTTCATCACATTAAAAAAATTACGAAAAAATTATGAAGAATATCAACACGATATAATCCACCCCTCCATTCTAATAGAAGTCACATTAATCAGGAGGATTGATATTGAATAATTGATACCAATTTTCACATGTTTCAAACTGAATATCGAACAATTTCAATGAAAAATAAGAAATATTTTCATTATTCTCCTTTATTAAAGAGAAAAGAGAAGAAAATAAACACGTGACATACTTTTACGATTTCCTTTTTATCATACAGAAGAATATTAATATTAATAATACATTAAAGCTGGGCAAAATAATGGAATCGGACTATTACAATGAAAATTCCAATTAATGGACCTAGTGCTAGTTAGAGTTAGCACTAGACTTTGCACTTCTTTCGTAATTTTTCCGAAATTTTGAGTTTAACCCTATATTGGTCACCATATGAAAGAAACCCTGCCGCGCGTCGTTATTCTTTAATTACAATTCAGTAGCGAAGTGGTAAAACAGTCTAAGTCGACTTATTTCTTAGTTGAGTTTTTGAAGAATATCTTCGAATCTAAAGGAGATAATGAAATTTTCGTATTAACCTTTTTTCTAGAGCAAATTGTGCTATAAAAAAGGGCTGAACAAAAATTTAGCTATCTCCCTTAGATTCCGAGATATTTACTAAAAACTGTCCAATAGTCAAAATCGATTTAAACCGTTACCACTTCGATATTGAATTGACTGGCTAACCGGAAAAATGAAAAAAAAAAATTAACTTTGTCAATTGAACTGTCTAAAGAATTACAGTACTTTTTAAAACAACACATTTCTCGAAATTCCTAAAGAAAATAAATTATTTCGAACAGATTATTTCAAGAAAACAGATTATTTCGAATAGATTATTTCAAGAAAACAAATTATTTTTTCCCGTGTTAAATGAAGTTGCTCATGACGCGACGTTGCCGAAAACTTGCTAAACGCGCTCGGGCAGTGTAGAGTGAATTCGGCAACGCTAGAGCCTAAATAACACGCCGGGGAATCCCCGCGGAGGTGACCAGAGTCGCAGGGTCGCCATTTAGGGACCAAACTAAGATTAATTCATAAAGTACTCTCCTCTCCCATGATTTTATAGTGAAATAATCAATGAATTTTCACAGATTTTTCAGACATCAGGACAAACGTTCCGGGTGAACCAGGAGTTGATTACCCTTCGTACGTGACGATCCCACAGACGAGTTTCCAATGCCAGAGTCAATACAGAGGTACAAATTTAATCTGTTTAAAACTGAAATTATTATTGTTTAGAGTAAATTCTTCTCTCGACATTGCTCAGTGCTGACATAATAACATATAATGTCTGATGATTATCAGTTACTATATGTACTCCCCGAATTTCGTGACCCAGACACTTTCTCAAGGCTGACAGATCCTCGGCAACTAACGACCTCGTTAATCTCTCAATCAGTGAGCGGGATGAAAGGGAAATGGATACTTGAAAAACATCGATTTTTATCGAATTATATCACAGCGTTCAGCTAATCATAATAGTAATCTAAGTCGAGTGATATTTTTGAAAAATTGAATAGAAATACTATTTGGACGGTCATACGCGTGAATAAATACCATTTCAATTGATTATTTACAATTCAATGTCAATATTAGACTCCATCCATGAAAATGAAATACAATCGCACACAAGAAAACTTAACTGGAAATTCTAGCAAATTCACTAGAGAATTCTATTTGATTTCTATTGGAATTCCATTGAAAATTCCATTAGTTTTTTAGTGATTTTGTTGAAAAACGCCGTAAGTTTTTCACGTGATTTTTAGTAGATAATGTGCAATAGATTATTTAATTAAAAAAAGTTATTTAATTAAAAGAAGTAAATAGAATTCCATTTTTCTATACAACTTGTTCTGTTGAGATTCTTTTTCACAGAAATTCCTTGACATAAATTTTCCAAGTTTTTCTTTACTCCATTTTCTTTCTTCGGTCATAAAAAAATAGAATTAAAAAAGTTACGAAATCTAGACAACGAAAATTGCATAGAAAATATTTCAGTAGCATTAATCATACATGAAAATCGAATTCTATGGATTTTTTCAATAAAATATCTACTATTAAACATTTCTATTGGAAAAACGCGCAGGAAAGCTGCAGAAATTTCCAACAGAATCGACGAAAAATTGATAGAATTTTCAATAGGCGTCCCATATAGATTCAATAGAACGTTTTTGCGACAGCATTTTTTAAAAATTTGTTCATACGTAATGTATTCTCTACGTAAGTCCTCAAACATGCAATTGACGTTCATTCTTTCATTTTACTTGACTATCCAATAAGAACCGAAATAAGGGTCCACAACTTTTTGAAGCCGCCATATAAGTCGTGATATTCAAATATTGAAATATCATATTCTATCGAGTGAATTGTTCAAAAAACATGTTGAAATGAAACTATGAATTGAGATAGTATTTGAATGAAATTTCACAAGTGCTTAATTGGCATTGGATCGGCTGTATTCCTAATTAATAGAAACACTTAGCGAATTCACTAAAAAATGCTATTGGATTTCTATTGAAATTTTTGTTAATATTTGAGAGATTCTATTAAAATGTTCAATCGAAAAAGTCAAAAGAATTCGATTTTTCTATACAACTTATTCTATTGCATATTTTCTATAGAATTTCCTCGGCTCAAATTTTCCAAGTTTTTTTGTTTGATTTCCTCGATGAAAGGAAAAGTAAAATGAGAAAAAAAATTAGAAAATTTGAGTCGAGGAAATTCTATAAAAAATATCTCAATGGAATAAGTTGTATAGAAAAATCGAATTTTATTGAATTTTTTTAAAGAATATTGTCTATTGAACATTTCAATAGAATCGGCCAAAAACTAATAGAAAGTTCAAAAGAAATCCAGCGCAATTATCTAACGAATTCCCTAGGTTAATCTATTAAATTTGTTCGTGTGTTTTTCTTGCTATTACATCATTTTCTCACAATCCACACAGTTGAACGCATAACGGTCCTCCAATTTTATCTCCGGACGTGCCGATACGATTTAACTAATACACCTTCGTCTAATTTTTATGGCACTAACTAAAATGTCTTGAGGGCGTTGATTTGACTTACACAGTAGACCCTCGTTATAGTCGCTCCCGTTATAGGGGAGGGTGTGCCTGTACCGCCCACCTATGGGAAAATGCCAGTTTTATATTTTATATTTCACCTTGAGTATAAAAAACGTATTTGTGAGACTTCTTTAACTATTGAACTCGTTATTCTCGAAGTGTAGACGCCTAATTCTCCTTAGAATCCACAAAATTGATTGAAAATAAAAGAGAGAGCCTATTGAGCGGTACTACCCGCCGTCGGGTAATACCGCTCGACACGATTCAAATGCCGCTCATAGGGTTTTGCGTGTATCGCTCGCGCCGCAACCTAACCTGTACTCGAGTGCTGTCGAGCAACTACGTGGCCGATCCTATGAGCGGTATTACCGGTTCCGCTCGGCGTCAACAAATTTGTCATAATTGTAGACATGAGTGGAGTTTTGAGTTCAAATTGGTCTCAAATTACGCGTGAAAGTACCACGAATCGAATAACCACAGTTTAATATGAGAATTCAGCGTTTGAAACTATCAAAAACCTTAATTACAAGTCCACAAATTTTGCATTGTAAAGACCTCAAAACTTCGTTACGTGTTTTTTCATATTTAAAGTGGTAAATAAAGTGAAATTTTTCCGACAATCACATTCTATCATCAAATTCTTCATGATCAGGAACAGAAAGAAATTTTCAAGTTGATGGTTGTGGAGAAAATCGGGTGAGCGGTATTACCCGCTGAGCGGTACAAGCACACCTTCCCCTAGTGGCATTTCTCCTTGATCGCTTTTTCGCCAGCGTGAAGGCCCCCACCACTCCCTACCATCTTCGACTCCCGAATGCAAACACATTGATGTTTTCTTAGATGCGTTATTATTCCGCATTCCCAGGAAATCGTAAATAGAAAATATTCTGACAATAAATTTTTGTAAAACTGGGCGCATGGTGGGGGCAGGAAAATATAGCCGCATTCGCCAAATCGGCTTCTCCTGTAGTCCCACATGCATGAAAAAATTCAATAGAAAATCTAGCGAATTTGCTAGAAAATTTTATTGGAATTCTATAGGAATTCTATGGAGTTTCTATAGGATTTCTTCTGGAATTATATTGAAAAATGCTATTTGTTTCTCGCGCTGATTCTATTGGATATTCGAAAAGAAAAAGTCAGTAGATTTCAAGTTTCTGTTTGGAATTTTCTCTTGAGACTTTTTCTATGAAAGTTGGAACGAGAATCAGCTCCCGCGACGACGATATAAATCATTCGATCGAGGATGTCCGAATTATTACGAATCGTCGCGAGGGTGTCCTGCGACTAGGGCAGCGATATATCAGCTGTTACGTGCCGTGGTAAGGTATTCGGTTGCTAAGCCAAGCTCGAACACAATACATTCAAATAATCTGAAATAATAGTATATTTCGTAACGAGTGCAAAAAACGAACTAAAAAACATCTTTTCACGAGTTACGAACAATATTTTTCATCACAATGTGGCGGAAATTGGACTTTTAGGCACGCGGAGCGTGCCGAAAAGTTCACTTTTCGTCACAGCGTGATGAAAATATAATATATAAGTAGCTTCGCAGCAAAAAATTCGGTCTAAATCCTTTTTACAACATAGAATCCCAATAGAATTTGTAGAGAATTCCAATCAAATTTTCTAGCGAATTCGTTAAATTTTCTACAGAATATTTCCATACGTGAACTAATTCTTTCTCTCTGTATTTTCGACCTCTAACAACTCCGTCTGCATTGTTTAGACTCCTCCGACCATTTTCCCACATCACATTTTACAGAGATGTACACATAAGTGGAGATATTTCCCATACTATGCCCGTAAAAGCCATAAAATAGGTCTTCAGCTGTGTTGCCTCATGATTACCACCAAAAGTCTTGTCATTCTCGAATTATGACGGCCATAAAATTGTCATCACCCCGATGACTCATTTTATGATTTAGAATAAAAACCGGCTTTGTCTCATCCTTTTATTATACCATAAATACATTGAACTTTCCTCCTGCATATTCATGAGTAATTAAAACCCCGCGGTAGAATCCCACCGCTACCTTTCATTCATGCATGTCCTTCGCACTATAAATGGGTGTCCTGAGGACATATAAAATGAAGCAAAAAATGAAAATGGGATTTTTCTTCGAGAAATACCTCCAAGTCGGTCTGATTTACTCTAGTCTGTCACCTTTAACATCGATGTCAAGGATAAATCGGTGTATACAAATGCACAGCAATCCCTGAAACGTCACCGCGGCGAGGCAGTCAGTTTGAGACCCGCGCTGCCGCTAGCATTTTATTGAGTTTCGTAATAGGTCAGCGAGCCAGCGGGTGCCGCTTCAATTCCGCCGGAGCCATCCCACTGGAGACCAGTAAATGAAAACAAATATCATAAATTCACGATGCTCACGCAGACGCGAAATTTCCTGGCTTTAAATTATTTGGAAATTAGATTGAAGCAGGAAATTAAAGCCCGTCCACTGGGTTGTTATCATCGACATTTGCAACATTCAATTAGCGACATTACACAATAATTAGTCAACGTGTAAATTTGAACATTAATAATTAGGATGGTCATGGAATGGGGAAACATTTAATAGCCATTTCAAAATTCGAGGAATTTATCTCTTATTCTTTTTGTGCATTGTATAATTATTTATGCGATGGTTGTGGGACTGTTCGAATGGAGTTTTGTAATTGTAGTTGAGGGATTCTGAATGGCTTTCATTTTTTTTTTTGAGAGTTGCGAAATGTCTGGATTTGTTGAGGTACATTGAATACAAAAATTTGGTCTCTTCTGTTTCTTTTGACCCGTTTTATTCGAAGAATAGATTTTTAAACAATGATGAATTGTTATTCATTTCGAAATAATAGTACATTATAGTACAAGGGCACAAATTTCGTTTTCAACGAATGTGTAGTTTACAGGCCGAGCCGAAGGCGAGGTCTGTACACACATTCGTTGAAAACGAAATTTATTACCGAGTGCTCTATAATATTTTATGTCAACTCGACTTATTGCACGGCGCGACATAAATTTGTTTTTACAAATTTGAATTGCATGTCATGTTATCATTTACATATTCAGTTGGAAGTCTTATGAAAAGTTTTGTCATTTTCCTGCGTTTTCCGATAGAAAAAAAATTGAACAGAAAAATGGTTAACAGATATTAATTTATCTATAAAATTATTATCCTGTTGAATTTTTTTTCTATTGTAATTGTTCGGCACGAATTTCCCATGTTTGTTTTTCTATTCTTGAATGAGATTTTCTTTAAAAATTTATTTATTTTTCTCTCATTTTTCAATTTTGAAAAATCAAATTCTGTTTTTCCCATATTCAATTTTTTTATGCAGAACAATCTCTGTAAGAACTGCCAAATGTTCAACAGAAATCGACGAAAAACTCATTGAATTTCCGGAGCTGTTCGCTAACAGCAAATTTCGATACGAGTGCGAAAAGCGCTTTTCTTGGCGCGATTTTTTTCCAACTTATCTAGGTATGTTTCTTCGAAATGAATTTTTTTGTTTCGGATTTTGACGTGTTTCTTGGGGACTGAAATAATCTCCAACCCTTCACTCGCCCCCCCTTGCCTGATAGGGTCCAAGCCGAAAAAGTGAGAAAAAAATATGTCAAGAAAAGCGCTATAATTTTTTAAAGACTGACATTGAATGCGATTTAAGTGGGAAAAAACATGAAATGTCAAATTTCACTGAAAATTCCACGAAATTCCAAGTTTTCGAAGAGCATTGAGATGAAAATTCCTCGACCTATTTGAATATTTAATGAAACCATGCATATTTAGTGCCGAATTACGATGAATGTTCAATTAAGTAATTAATTAATAGTCCGCGTAGCCCCCTAATCTGACGGACGGATAGCGCTGCCTTACAGCCAGCACGACAAAAACCACCCGTCTAAATTCTCGTCACTCGAATGCATAATTCCCTGTTTATTCCCTCAGGATACTACGCAGATGAGGAGGCAGGCTGTCAATTATTCCACGTTTGCGACGGTAACTTCCTCGTCTCCTCGTTCCTCTGCCCCATCGGCGCAACATTCAGCCAGAAGTTGCTGACCTGCGACTGGTGGAACAAAGTGGACTGCTCATCAACCCGAAACTACCACATAGTAAACCGAGACAGTCTGCTCAGTGAAGTGGACGACGACGAGATCCTCCGCAAGGCCTACGAGATGACGAGCCTCCAGACGTCCCGCAAGGACGTCTCCATCGACTCAAGAACCCGAAACTCAATCCTAGAATCCGCCCGCTTCATCAACGACCTGCAGACCAGTCCGAATCGCTACGGCGATTACGCGGATAATTCCCCAGAAGTCCAGTACAAATACAGCTCAAGATACAACTCAGGTGACTATCGAGACCGGGCCTCCGGGTACTTCCCCACGCTTCTCCAGGATAACCAGCAAAACCCGAGGATAAAAGTCCACACAATCGGCCAGGACCACAAGAACGACGCGGACCACAAAACCCGAGACTTCAGGCCCTCGTACGCCCCAACAGTTCCAACTGTCACCACAACTACCAGAAGATTCTACTCCCCGACAGTCCCAACAACCTCCGCAAGACCGATGTCCCGACCCCGCCACGACCTGGAGTTCGAGAGTTCCGATCACCTGTACTCAGCAAGAGGAAAGACGACAGAACCCTCAGTAAATCCAGTCACGAGACCAACCGTTGACACCACAACATCAGTCGTCGTGGATGTCCCGCCGACTCTGACCGACGCATATCAATCAAAAATCGAGGATAGACGTCCCCAAAGTCAAACATCTCCAAAATACGAAGCTGTGACCGAAGTTACGATGGACAAGGCGCAAGTCGTAACGCAATTCTCAGCGATTGAATTCCAATCGGTGTATTCCGGTGAAAATTACACATTCCAAATCGACGTGGATGACCAGAATTCCCGGGCTAAGGAGACCGGATCGGCGGAGATTCCGTCGACCAACATAATCCCACCGTTCTTCTACTACTCCAAAAACCAGGAAACTAACACTACTTCGTCCAACCAATTCATCATCAATGTTCCAGCAACTGACGTTATCCCCCCGCTGTTCAGCGACTTCTCAAACGAAACCAGAAAGGATTATGTGGACAATCATGTGGTGATTCCATCCGAGGAAATAAAATCCCCTTTCACCGAAATCAAGAGCGTTTCCCCAATTATTCAAGACACTCCCAGAGCAGAAGAGAACATATCGTTCCTCGATGAATCGGTCGCTCCGCCGTCGAGATTATTCCTCCCGCCGGTTGACGATTTCCAACTTGAAAATTATACGAATGTGATTCAGAACGATGTAGGGCAGCGACTGGGCTACAATAATGGGCCAAATGGAGAGGAGGGACATCGTGATTCAACCGAGGGTGAGAGTTCACCGTACCAGGTGTCTCTCACGGTGAAAGGAAGCGAGGAGTTCAATCCTCGAGGTGCACTGATCAAGCGTTTACTCGCCCAACATGAATCTTCTGGTGACATTCGAGACATTGAGATTGAGAAATCCGAGAGGAGTGCAGAACCTTTGAGTGACCTCCAGAGCAATTCGACGATAGATTCGAGCGCGGCTGGTGACGCTTCGAGGGCGCAGATAATCAATTACGCGGTGCTCAATAAATTGCAGGAGATCCGTCCCCTGGGGTCATTATCGGATCTGCGGAATGCAGATCACCTTCCAAGGCCGTTCTCCTTGGATACTCGTAAGGGGGTGGGTAGAAGTCCCGGAGGGCCTGGAGTCAGTGAGAAAAAATTGAACGAGGGTCAGGAATCTGAAGCTAATCCACACGAAGGAGTGGAGGTGAGGAAAGAGCAAGAAGTTCTAGCATCGAAAAATGATACTCCGTTGAAATTCGATCTCCCTGACGTAGCCCGAACGACTGACTTCAGGAGTGAAGAGAAGCTGAAGGATTCGGGGGAACGAGTGAGTGGGGACAAAGAGGAAACATCAGATAAAGAGAAAGATGGCACTGAGTTCATACCTTCGATAGGATTTTCGCTCAACACAGCGGAGGAACGCAAGGAGTACACAGAAGCGGTGATCCGAGGGCTTTTCACTGACCTTTCGAGTCCTAGTGTAAATAGAAGTATCGATAATTCTGAGAGTTCATGAGTTATATTGTAAGATTTTCTAAGAGTCACTCAAGATAGGAGACGCTTAAGATTATGTATAATAGTTCTCTCTGATTTAATAAATTCGTATTTTTCCTTTATTATTGGGTAATGATTATAATTCCATGTACTAAAAAATTTAATAGGCACAACTAACACATTAATAGCAAAAATGGACACCAATTAGTGGACAGCTCAAAAAGTGAATCTCTAATTTTATAATCTTTACAATTGACTCCCACTATTAAACAAAATATTCTAATTAAGAGGGATAACGGCCTGTAAGACGTATGCGCATTCTTTCAGAAAGTTCGATTGGATTTATATTGAAATTCTTTCTGTTTTTTCTTTAATTCTACTGAAAAATTCTCCAGCTTTTCAGTTTTTTTCTGTAGAAATATTCAATGGAAAATATTTCATTAAAAAAAATCAGTACACAGTAAAAAATTCAAAGTGAATTTCGAAAAAAAGTGTGAAAACAAATCCACACTGTTTTCGGTGTGGATGGTCGGAGTACATTAATTCCGGAGTTGAGCAGTGAATGGAGTGAAAATTCACTCCGCCATAGTGTTAACATGAACATGGTAATCAACACAGTTTAATGTTAAAAATAAAAATCTACTCTCTACCAGAAATTGACTCACGGCTGAGGGTGAAGTAAACTCCCAACAAGGATTGACTTTGACCCCGAAATCTAACCCCTCACACGGGAGACATTAACATTAATTTTTTTACTTGTAGAATATCATTTTCGTAACAGAATTATTTGCCACTATGCAAATTCAAGATAACACATCAATTCAACACAAAATTTATTCAATTCATAGTTTATTCAACACATCCATATCAAGCAGTGACACATATTTCAGATTCTATGTAAATTTGAAAGCACCTGAGTCACTCACGTATGAAAAAATTCGTGTAGAAAATATTCGTATAGAAATGTCCGAATATCATATACGGAAATCCTATAGAATTTCTATACGCAAACCGTGTAGAAAATTTCTATACGATTTTTTCATGTTTTTTTCAGCCGACCTTCCTGTATTTGAATCGGAATAAATATCAAAACCAATTCGAATGCCTGTGGAAAAGATTTATTGATTTTTATTTTCGACGACAGGTAGAAATGCTAAGTCTTCGTGTCGTTTATAATCTACATTATTTGAAAAGCATTGCTCACAATGTTAAACTGTAATTGATTTAAGAAATGGTACTCGATTGTTTCATAACTAATTTTTATTATTTTTCAGAAATTTAGTGCAAGTAATTTCAATAAAAGAGCAAGTGGCATCATTGCTATGTTTTAAGTGAAAGTATTGTTGAATTTGCGTGTGAAATAGTCATGGAACCGTAATTTTTCAATACATATTTTATGATTGAGATATTTCCCACAGAAATTCCTCGACGTGAAGTTTCTAAGGTTTCTCGTTTGATTTTTTCAATGACAATACTAAAAAAACAAAGAGTAAAAGAAACTTATAAAATCCGGCATGATGAATTTCTACAGATAATATTTCAACAAACACAGCTGTAAAAAACGATTTGATAATTTCTACTAATCCTTGTCCATTAAAAAAAATGCCCACAAAAGCAACGAAATGTTTTCCTGAATGCATTATGTTTGCATTATGTATTCTAATGAAGTTCGGACGTACCCTGAAAGTTTCTCTCCATGGTAACACCATGGCAACGCTCAACACTAATTCTGAGTACTTAACAGGACTTAACCATGCTGTAAACCTGGGAAGAGCGAAATAAAGATGAAGATTGTTTTTTAAGTGCAAGTAATTGAGGCTAGTTGGAGTTTTACTTTGAATGAAAGAATGAACAAAGACGCGGAACTGGCGAGCAGTGATGATGCTAATGACGGAGAGCACCAGGAGGGACTCCTGGAAACTCCAGGGAGTTCCACGGTGGCATTGTCCCCTTCTATGACCATGGACTACCGGTGAAACTCGTTTTATGATTCTGTGTTCATGCATCAGCTTTGCTAATGGATTCTGAATTTTTATTTCAGCATTTTATGGATCAGGGATAAAGTCATCAAATTCCTCGGCCTCAATGAGGAGCACAAAATTTTATTCGATAATTTAATTAATGTAAGTGCTTTTTAATGATCGATGGAAATATTTTTCGAGTGACTCACGGGTGAAAAAGTTTAACAGAGAAACTTGGCGAATTCGCTAGACAATTCTATTGGATTTCTATTGGATTTTCTGTTAGTTTTTGGCCGATTCTATTGACATTTTTAATAGAAAATATTTTATAGAAAAGGTCAAAAGAATTTGATTTTTCGATAAAACTTATTCTATTGAGATATTTTCAACAGAATTTCTCCGGCTCAAATTTTTTACGTTTTTTTTATTTTCTTGATGAGAAGAATATCTGAAGACAATGAGCTACACAGAAAAATCGATTTTTATTGAATATTTTCTATTGAACATTTCAATAGAATCGGTCAAAAATTAATCAAAAGTTCAAGAAATTCAATAGAATTTTCTAACGAATTTGCTAGGTTTCTCTATTAGATTTTTTCATGTGTGCTCTTATGACTATTTAAAATCTCACACCTGTTTTAGGAGAATAATCGATATTATGCGATGAATCGTCATTGTATAAATTATTTTTTTATTCACATTTACACACGAACAAATCAATAGAAAAATCTAACGAATCCGTCAGAAGATTCTATTGATTTTATTGAAATGTTCAATGGAAAATATTCTATCGAAAAAGTCAATAGAATTCGATTTTTCTATACAACTTATTGTATTGAAATATTTTCTATAGAATTTCCTCTGCTCATGTTTTTTCGTTGTATTTTTCTTTTCATCAAGAAAACCAAAAATGAAAACATGCAAAGTTTGAGCTGAGGAAATTCTATACAAAATATGTGAAGACAATAAATTACACAGAAAAATCGATTTCTATTGATTGTTTCCATTGAATATTTTCTATTGAACATTTAAATATAATCGGCCAAAAACTAATAGAAAGTTTAATCGAAAACCAATAGAATTTTCTAACGAATTCGCTAGCTTTTCCTATTAAACTTTTCATGCGTGCTCTTAGGACTGTCTATAATCTCACACCTATTGCAGGAGAATAATCGATATTATGAGGACAAACTGTACAACTTTCTAATTCTCGATTTGTACGATACAACGGATTTAGAGAAGAAGTTGATATTGTTTTACAAGACGTACAGAAGTGAAGTGGTGCAGGAAGAGATTTCAGTGTGGGAAGAAAGTGAGTAATTTTCCCCACGAGAGTTATTACACTGAAGATATTTTTACATTTGACTCTAAACTCGAGTTGCACAGGTCGCAAAATAACCGCTGTGGGATCGTTCTCGGCTAAGGGCCGACCTCAACGATTAACTAAAAGTGCTCCTGGTAAAAGTGAAATGGAAATTATTTGCATGATACTTCCTTATGGCGATTTTCTTGGCGGAAAGTATCTCTAAAATATATATTTATGTTTAGTCGTTTATATTATAATCAGGGGAATGATTTATGGCTTTCCTAGTCCAATATTTCATTCATTTATCTGGGTATATTATTATACTTTCAAACGATATTACATATCTGACGGTTCAGTTAAGAAATGGGTAGAATGTTCCTCTGGATTGGGAAGAATTATTTCTTTTTATGTGAGCGAAATCGTTTTGATTTAGTGATGTGATAATATTCTTGCTTAAGTCATTCAGAGTTTTGGAAAATAAGAGAAAATTATTGACGAATCGTGGAAGTGTTTACGGATGAAAAAGTTTAATAGAAAAACCTAGGGAATTCGCTGGACAATTCTATTGGATTAATATTGAACTTTCTATTAGTTTTTGGCCGATTCCATTGAAATGTTTAAGAGAAAATATTGGCCGGAAAAATTCAATGGGATTGGATTTTTCTATTCAATTTATTCTATTGAGATATTTTATACAGAATTCCCTCGCCTCAAATTTTCAAAGTTTGTTTTCATTCTATTTTTTCTTTTCACCAAGAAAATCAAATAAAAAATGTAGAAAATTTGAGCGAAGGAAATTCTACAGAAAATACCTTAATGTTTAATAGAAAACATTCTGTAGAAAAAGTCAATGGAATTCGATTTTTCTACACATCTTATTCTATTGAGATATTTTCTATAGAATTTTCACGGTTCAAATTTTCTAATTTTTTGTTTGATTTCCTTAATGAGAAGAAAAAAAATACAGTGAAAAAAACTCAGAAAATTTGAGTCCTGGAAATTCTACAGAAAAAAATTGAATTTTTTTTACTTTTTCTATTGAATTTTTTCGTGATTTTTTTATTAATTTTTTTCAATTTTTGTTTTTCGTGCGTGTTGTTTGAGAATATATTCTAGAGATATTTTATGTCAAGAAACGCATCATTTGCACTTCAAAAGCCTTTAGAATATTGAGCACTTGAAATAATGAAAAACAAACTCATCACAGAGAAAAAAAATAGAACAATTTTGTCGTGACAAACGAAATTTTTGCTGCCCCAAATGAAAACCTGTGATGATCTTTTGATAATAAGAAAATTTGTCATTAGTAAGTGAATACATGCAGTAGTTAGCAATAGATTTTTCTCTATGCGTCCCTCGAGGACTTCTCTGTATTTGTGTCCGAGGTGAATCGACCCCTAAAAATTTTAGATTTGACTTAGGATCACTTAGTGTCCCAATTCACCATTGAACAATTGATGATACAATTTTCCTCTAATCAGGGAAAGTCGAGAAGTTTGAGGATGAGAAGAAAAAGGAGAAGAAACCAAAGAAATCAAAGAAAGAGAAGAAGGAGGAGAAAGTTGAATTGAGTGATATAGACGCCGGATCAATATTCACTGGAGTCTCAACGCATGTGCCTTCGGGAACTGAAGAAGAAGCTGGTGAGGATGGCGAGAGTGTAGCTCCGAATGAAGAAGAAGCCGGGCAATCTGCTCAAAGTTTACACAAAGCCAAAGAGCAGGCGAAGAGCGTTGGAACTTGTACGTTTCCCTCTCTCCCATTAAAGTAGCTCTCCCTTACGGTAATTTCGAAGATTATTGAAAACTACAAAAAATTGCAGAAAACTCGATTAGATTCGGAATTCTAATTTTTTTCTCAATTTAATTATCGTTTTGGTTTTTCGAAGAAGAAATGTTTAAAAATTAGGATTTAACCCAGTGTCTTATGTGAAAATCAACATTTCCATTGTAATCAAAGATTAAAATCTGATTTTTTTATTTCAAAGTTCAATCCAGCCAATGCATTTTATTTCAATTTTTTTCATTGGACTGTTTTCAAGTTATCGTTCATTGAATAATGGAGTTGACGCGCCGCAAGTCGACCCGAGTCGAATAATTGGACCTGACAAGTTCTACTTAGGTCTTTCCGTTCAGAACTGGATAGGTCTTGGGAAGCCTCTTCCCAAGTGCTTCCGAGACCTTTCTACCTCTGGTTATGTCCCATTTCAGCACTTGTTAGGTGTAAGCAGGACTTGTATTCAGACTTTCCAAATCCTTGCCGGTCCCCGTAATTCTATGGGCCTATATTAAATCCGCGTTCATATCCCTGTTTACTCATGCGTTATTGAAATAAAAAATGCAATTATTGTTTTTTTTTTAATCTCGAAAATCGACATTTCACGAGAGGGTGGAGGGGAGATGCATGTATGTGGAGGCTTGACATTTTTACCCAACAAGGGGAGAAGGTAGCAGAATCTATTCTAGCCACTCTTGTCCCTATGCTTGCATGCATTATCCAAATAAAAAATGAAAGTGTTAACAAATCTGACCATTGTTCCAAGTAAAAACCGAAAATCTGAC